CATGTCAGTGGGGTGTATTAATGTGATTTGCTGGGACAAGAGTGGTATACATGGTATAGTCACAGCACAGAAACAGTACACAAGTCAGTGGGGTGTATTAATGTGATTTGCTGGGACAAGAGTGGTATACATGGTATAGTCACAGCACAGAAACAGCACACAAGTCGGTGGGGTGTATTAATGTGATTTGCTGGGACAAGAGGTATACATGGTATAGTCACAGCACAGAAACAGCACACAAGTCAGTGGGGTGTATTAATGTGATTTGCTGGGACAAGAGTGGTATACATGGTACAGTCACAGCACAGAAACAGCACACATGTCAGTGGGGTGTATTAATGTGATTTGCTGGGACAAGAGTGGTATACATGGTATAGTCACAGCACAGAAACAGTACACAAGTCGGTGGGGTGTATTAATGTGATTTGCTGGGACAAGAGTGGTATACATGGTACAGTCACAGCACAGAAACAGCACACAAGTCGGTGGGGTGTATTAATGTGATTTGCTGGGACAAGAGTGGTATACATGGTATAGTCACAGCACAGAAACAGTACACATGTCAGTGGGGTGAATTAATGTGATTTGCTGGGACAAGAGTGGTATACATGGTACAGTCACAGCACAGAAACAGCACACATGTCAGTGGGGTGAATTAATGTGATTTGCTGGGACAAGAGTGGTATACATGGTACAGTCACAGCACAGAAACAGCACACATGTCAGTGGGGTGAATTAATGTGATTTGCTGGGACAAGAGTGGTATACATGGTACAGTCACAGCACAGAAACAGCACACATGTCAGTGGGGTGAATGAATGTGATTTGCTGGGACAAGAGTGGTATACATGGTACAGTCACAGCACAGAAACAGCACACATGTCAGTGGGGTGAATGAATGTGATTTGCTGGGACAAGAGTGGTATACATGGTACAGTCACAGCACAGAAACAGCACACATGTCAGTGGGGTGAATTAATGTGATTTGCTGGGACAAGAGTGGTATACATGGTACAGTCACAGCACAGAAACAGCACACATGTCAGTGGGGTGAACTAATGTGATTTGCTGGGACGAGAGTGGTATACATGGTATAGTCACAGCACAGAAACAGCACACAACACAAATTATCCTTGTTTCATGTATATAAATGGTCACTGATTTATGTTGTAAATATTGAGCATATTGACTTATGAGTGATTTGAGAAAATTTAATGAAATTTGTTTCTCGATCACTGAAAGTTGATGTTTGATTTGTGACCTGTTTTTGTTCAAGTGAGCCTCATGGAGGCTCATGAGTCTATCTTCGTCTTTCTGTCTACCGCCTCCATAGTCTAATGGATAGAGCGTCTGCCCAGATTGAGGTCGGGGTTCGATCCCTGGCTGGGTCATATCAAAAGACGTTCAACGTGTTAAAAGATGGTACTTGTTGTTACCCTGCCTGGCGTTTGGCCTGTTGAACTTCAAACCTTCAAATTATCAGTTATATTGCTTATGTTTTATCCTTGTCAAGAAGTGAATTAATTAATGATGTGTCCAGATAATGTGTTTTGAAAGGTTCTATTTGGCTCCTATAAAACTATGTTACATATTAACAATCCAAAGAAACTATATGTGTTTCCAAAATTATGTTATGCTATCAAGAGCCAGAGAATTATATTTCAACAAATTTGAGACGATTGTCCATGTTGTCCATGGATGATGCTATTACCTTTTTGCAAACTCCTGGTGTTATCACTGATTTTCTGTGATCCACTCATATAATTTTCAATGCTATTTTGCCTTTTATGCCCAATGGAATCTGTTTCGGCAGATAATCAAACAGATTATCCTCTGGCATTGATGTTTTATATTCATATCATGGTTATTGGCCTCAAAACTGAATTAAGTTTGGGTCGTCTCAGTTTGACAGATTAAGAAGACTAGCAGTTCTCTTGTATTCACAAGTAACAAATGCTGTAGTGATAGTGACTGGCTTTTTAATCATCTGATTTGGAAAAATTGTTTTGGACATGTGGAAACACCTGAAAACTTTTAATAATTTAATACCCTGCATACATAAGTTGCATTCAAGTTTAACTGGTGCTGTAAACAAGGGAAAGTAGTTGAAGCCTTCATTCACACTTAGTCTTTGAAATTTAAAATGCTAAAGATATTTGTGTTTCTTAGTGCTTTGCCACTATCATGACTATAGCATATAATACATTTTTAATATGTGAATGAAAAGTCACAAGGTAACATTCTTCTAGGAGACCTGGTCACTGGTGTTTGTTTTATGTATTAAAATATCCCCAAATTAATATTCAAGCTGCTTTTGCATAGTTCATTAATTATTTGGAATAAAGCACTCCCCATTTATTTCTGACAGTTTAGTACATGTAGTAGTCACAGTTTGTTGTGATAACATATTTAATATATATGTTTATTGTGTCTGGTACCTGCCTCTTCTGTTTTATAGCATCATTATTATACTGTAGTCATTAAGGGCTGTGTCAGTCGTTCATGTTAGCGTCACAACCTGAAGTTATACATCTAGTCGGTAAATGTTGTGTTTAATTTTACATGTATGACATGTATTAGATTCTACCCTTACTCCAGATTGTAGTTGATTAAGGTTTGTAAGCATGGCCCTTCTGTTTTAAGTAGATGCTAATTTCAATATGTACTACTCAAAAGAAGTTAAAGAACACCTGTTTCTTTCATATTACTATGGTTAATCTGACATGAAGAATTGGGTGTGTTTTAACTTCTTTTGAGTAGGATATCCTAGTGGGCCTCCTGTCTGCAATTTCCTTTATCAACAAACAAAGATGAACATTTGATAAAGCTATGGCTTACTTCCTTGTTTTGTTACCAATGCATGGTTCTCCTGTATCTTTATTGTTGTTAATCATGTTGATTGTATATATAATCAAATATATTTGTTTTCATTTGATGAATGGTGACAACTGTGAAGAATTATTTATTTGGATGCAATATACAAGTGCTGAGTTTTTGACTACATAAATATATTTGTGGGACATATTAATAAATGAGAAACAATGATAGATTGACACTTTGTTTGGTCTGCTGGTAAGGCTTCCTTGGAGAGTGGACAGAGGGGACAATGGTCTAAGGCATTGGAGGTTAGACAAAACTAATGATCTCCCATAGACTTCTATAGTAACATTATATTTTTTTTAAGATAACAAGGCATTCAAACGCCATTACATGTACATGTCGGCGAAGTCTGGGCTTAAAGCTGCGATAAAGGACAATATTTCTCAAGCTTAGCCACGATGCACTTACCTGATTTCAATTCAAGTTTAGATTCTGTATTGGTTTTGAAAACACAATATTTAGAAATCTTGTCAGTAATACAGATGGATAACTACTCCGACTAGCATTACCATAACGCCTATGAAGAAAATAAATTCCAAATCTGATTGCATGGTAGTTTAAGAACTAGGGCTGGGACGAGGCCAAATTTACTACCTTGATACACGGCCCCCTATTACCTGACCCTACCCGGGTACCCGCTGTAGGTCTCAAGAGTTGGGAACAAAATGTCTGATTGGGAATTGTTTTACCGCAGCCCTGGCAAAAATTATTTCGATACATATATCAAACGATCAAATCATGCGTACACTGTAGTTGACTGGCGCTTTATCTTAACTTCAAAATATACAAATCAAAAGAAATGTGTGCATCGTCAGAATGAAATGCAAACATTAGCGACTTGTTGTGTAACCACTGAGCTATAGTAAGTTTTCGTCTTTGAGCAATATATCACATGACTAACCACGGGTCCGGGTAGTCCTGTAGGTATCCGGGTCCTACTCAGGACCCACCCGACCCAAGTTCCCGAGTTTAGTAACTCATCCTAGCCCTATTAAGAACAACTCTCAATTAACCAGTTGTGCAAACTGAACACAAACAAGTAGATACCAACAACCCCTTGATAGCCGGGCATGGAGACTTTCATGCTCAAATTGTGTAAATTAAGTGTTGCGGTACATATTTTACGTTGACTCATGACACCCCAAGGACGTACCATAAAATCAAGTTTCCCTGTGAAGACAGGTTCAGAATAGGTCTTCAGAAACCCATGCTTGTCGTAAGAGGCAACTGATCAGATGGTCAGACTTGCTGACTTGGTTCATGCATGTCTTTCAAATCCCAATTTCATAGATCAGTGAATGCGTAGATTCATTTGGTCTTGATGTAAGTGAAACACGTGGTCAAAGCTCCACACATTCTTAAAGTTCATTATGTGACACTCATTCACAGACTTTCAGAAAGACAATCCCAATTGGGTAGATGGATGCTCATGATGTCAATCGCTGGATTACTGGTCCAGACTCGATTATTTACAGCAGCGGTCATATAGCAGGAATAATGCTGAGTGAGGCAACCAACCAACAAACATAAAATCAAGTGTTTATGTAACATAATTTGTCCCACTCATTAGATGCAGTCTCATCAAAACCAGATCTTTTACAGCAGATAAATAGAAAAGAGCTATGGAATCTTAGTAAAAGATCTACTTTTAATGAGATTGGCTAGCAATTACAGCTATGCTGACGTACACCTAGAAACCAGTGTTTTTTTGTAGTTGAACATGTTGGACAAGTTTGTATTAGCTTCAAGACTTTTGTAGTTATTATGATTTTCTGCGGGAACTCTTTAATCTTTTGCATTGTCTGGTCCTCCAGCTGCAGGGATCCCATCAGAAAAGGTCCATGATAATAATTACCGACCCGATCCAAACGTGGATGTAACAAGGTTACACACATGCCAGATTATCTTGCAGAAGATTGCAGAAATCATCTTCTTCAAAAGAAAGAACACAAGCAAGATCAATTATTAAAACTGTTTGCCAATTCCAACCACTGCTTGACAACTACATATTAAGACATTAAAATTGCAGGTTGAAATGTTTCCACATGCCTGCTGTGTTGGCAGTGAAAGCAATGTGTAGACCAGGCCTGTGATGTGAATGTATTGATTTGTTCTTGCAGGTGACGGTGTGCAGATGAAGTAAGGCCAACAGTGACAGCCAATTTCCCGGTCTTCCAACCTATTTTTGCAGCAAGATGAAGTCAACTCTGATATTCCTTTTAAGTTCTCTCTTGGGTTCAGCGTCAGCTTTGCGCACAGTCACCATCGGCGCTGCTTTGAGTTCCGAGAGGAACCAGGAAGTGTTTAAAAATGCAGTGGACCATTTAAATGATTTACGACTTGGTGGTGATGTCTATTTCAATTCCACGTCTATTGCAATGGATGTTAATCCTATTCGATCAGCATTGGATGTGTGTGACCGTTTGTTGCCGCAGACAGTATACACAGTGATTGCCAGTCATCCAAACGCCAGTGACCAGTCACCGATCTCTGTGTCCTACACCTGTGGCTTCTACAATATACCTGTGATTGGAATTGCAGCCAGGGACAGTGCTTTCTCAGACACGGTCAGAGTTGTAGAACATTTGATAGCTGAGTGTTACGTATTAGGTTTACACAGGCTTAGAGCATTTCATAGGGTTCTTCTTGTCTTTTCATGGAAAGTCCCTTGAAACGGTTTCACTTTGAATCTCATAACTGTTATCATGGTTAAGTTAAAAGAAGCCGCTTTGGGGTATTTTGTTAATACTTTGTCATAGTTTTCTATCTATTACTGTTATTAAGTTTTCATCCTATACACAGACAAATGATGAGTTTTCAAACTTTGTGTAATTGTATTTCGTTCCTAAGTACCACATATATTTGTTATGTTTAAGTCACACTATTTAGGTAAATTTTGGAATGTGTTGGCAAGATTTGGAATGCAGGTCTTTCTTGACATACCTTCCTACCTGTACAGAACGTTCACGGAACCTTCCTGCGGACTGTGCCGCCCTATTCCGCCCAGGCTGATGTGTGGATTGCCCTCCTGCAGTACTTTGAGTGGTCTCAGGTCATCTTCCTCCACAGCTCAGATGAAGAAGGGCGGGCCATTCTCAGCCAGTTCCAGACATTAGCTGAACCTCTCAAAATCAAGGTAGGAGATGCTACCATGAAATGTGTTTAAGGATACAACATAATATTTTAAGATGGTTGTGAATAATGAATGTGAAAAATGATTGTGCATTCAATCGACATGTTGAAATGTTGTGGTGCTCACAATGAACTTTTTTTAAACATGTTTTTCCCTCATAGTATACTCCCCATGGAGCTGAGAATGTATATCAAGTGCACACTGATCCATTGACCGTGGTACTAATGGTTAGCACTTTGAACATGCTTCAACGGATAGAATATTGAAAATTACAAATATCCAATTATCATCATCAGCAGCAGCAGCATTATAAAAGCATTGAATAGATTAAAAACCTGCTTAGAGCAACAGTTAATGCTGTATGTGTGTGTACTGTTTATTATTACCTTGACTGAAGTTCAAATTTTGATTTAAGTTGTTACTTTATGTCCAGCTTGAGAAGACTGTCAAGTACATCCCAGGCCAGAATAATTACACCAACGACTTGTGGAGAATCATGCAGGCTCAGTCCAGAGTTGTGCTGCTATCTGCATCGTAAGTATCTACCATGTCTACATCATCAATCATGTGGAGCATGACACAGTGTAATATCATTGATATTCTTCTCCACGGGGATTTTGAGGTCGTGTAGGCTGCTAGTTCTGTTCTTGTCATAAATGGGCATCAGGTTACATATTGTGTAATCTTGGACCCATTTCACAAAGTAATATCTTTGTTTGTTTGTTTGTTTGTTTGTTGTTTAATGCCACACTCAGCAATATTCCAGCTATATTAGGAAGTCTGTAAAATTGAGTCCAGACCAGACAGCACTGTGATTGACATCATGATCATTGATCTGCGCATTTGGGATACGATGACATGCATCAACCAAGTCTGCGAGCCTGACTACCCGATCCCGTCAGTTGCCTCTTACAACAAGCATGGCTTGCTCATTTACAGTTCTGAGCAGGATCTTCATGGGGAAAAGCAATATCTTAGCACTGCATGTTTTGTAACTCAAATTCTCTGACATGTTCTTACAACAGTCAGACCGTTAACATTGCTTAGCAAAATGGGATCATTGTTGATTGTTTGCCATCAATCCCTACAGCGTGAATTGTTTGCCAAAGAAATCATCACTAGTTTGTCTGCTTCAGATTCGTAAATTTGGAGGTTACTTTGGAATAGCTACAATGTTGACTGCTGTGTACATAGAAACTTGCCACATTTTTCTCTGTTGTCGGAGATGCCAACCGATTTTGTTGTAAAAGCTACGATTTTTAGCCTAACATTACACTATTATATGACACTTGTCCTCCCCCAAATTATGATTTTTGTGGGTTTTTTTCTCACGAATTGTTTACATGCATAAAATATCATGGAGAACACATTGTTAATGCATCGGTGACATGAAACATTCTACATTGAGACTATACTGACAAATGAGAGCCAGACTTTGTATTCACATAGTGTTAAAATGCCCTTCAATCAATGATATAAGGTCTCTGATTGGTTAACTTAAACACACTCCAGTCATTTTATCGTTCATTCATTGTGGGTACAGACAGGAAAGTAATTGCATGTGCACCGACTTACTTCGGAACTCAAAACACCACATTGTCTTTCTGAAGAACAGTTTATTAGTGTCACATGATCAGTGTGTGGAGCTTTGACCACATGTTTTGCATATGTCTTGGCCTAATGAAAATGTCGAAGCCAAAACCTGCATCATGGTACTTTATAACGTTACTCTTTTTCATATGAATTTTTTTCTTTTCTGGTCACAAAGCTTCAATTAGGGTTGGCTTCTCTTTGTAATGTTTATTTCATCTAAATGACTTTAATATCAGATATTTGCCTCAAATTGCTTCAAACTTGGTATTTTGGCCTCAGGACTTAACTCCTGTGAACATGGCAAACTTTGTACTAACATTTATGTGTTCTCATAGTAAGCTCATCTGGATGTTTAAGCACTCTTTTATCGTGGCGTTACAGTCATACAGTCAACTCTCATGATCTGTGAATATGATCAGATATGGCGAAAAGCCAGTTTTGATGATACCATTTTATGCCCAAATGAGAAATGAACTTTATTAATAATGTGAATATGAAACTTTGGACAAAACAAAGCTTGGGGTTGTTTGTGTTATCACATCACATTGACACAAATGAAAAGCTCAAGTTAGTTTTGACAACTAAGAACATGTGTGCAGAATTCTGTCTGTCTGTATGATTATTTGGGGCACAGATGGCCCAGTCGTCTGAGGTGATGCAATTTGCTGGGCAGAGTTGTATCTCTTGAGCAAGCCAGAAACCTATGATTCTAGGTTTGTCTGGATCATATCCAAACTCATGGGTTCACCAACGTGGTAATCGTCTGAGAAGCTTAGGGCTTTCCTTCCTCATCAAGCTGACACACAGTGATATAACTGGAATACTGTTCTATGACAGGACCGATGATGCAGAGCTGATATTTCAAGATGCGGAGAATCTGGGTCTGACTGGAGAGGACTATGCCTGGTTTGCCACAGAGCTGGCCTTCAAGGCCTACAATGCCCCAGTTGGTATGTAGGACAAATGTTTTAATGCAGCTAGAGGAAGAGGTTTTAATATTTATAACCTGTTCTGTTTGACATTGGATAACTAATACTTGCAGGGATTTATCTGGAATATCGAAAGTATGTGCCTTTGGTATGCAAATTGGGGTAAAATTATTATTTTGTTCAAATTTGGGATTTTAAGAAAATTCTTATACTGTTATGTTAACATTAATAACATTACATTCAATACAATAGCATAAAACTAAGTAAACAAATTTGTTACCTATACTGGTGCTGTTATCACTGAAATACAAATGTTTACTGACACTTGTTGAAGACTTTGGGCCGAATATTGGCCTCTGAACATGTTTGGATAAATCCCTGACTTGCATTTGTTACCACTGACTGAGAAGATAGCATGTGTAAAACAGATGGTTGCTAGTACAAGATAAGTAAGAGAGATCTCAAAATATTTCCTTGCTTCACTTACATGCTGCAAGGAAAGAGAGTCAGTCTATGTTAAAGGTTTCCTTCCATCCTCGGGCATTGTCTATATGTTTACAGTAAATACTGTAGATATTGCTGTAAAAAACTTGTTTAGTGACTGTAAAAATGTTTAAAATAAGGCTTCATGGAGGACAAAATATGTGTTCATTAGATTATGCATAAAAAACTTGTATTAAAAATAAGTGTGACTTTGAATAAATGTGTCACCCCATCTTTAGAGATTTGTTCAAGTTTCCTTTCTTCAACATGATTTGCATGCTGTCAGTACATTTGTTCCCAATATGATATGAACAGGTTTTGTATCTTGAATTAGAGTGAATTGTATTCAGTGATGGTTGGTGTCTTTCCAGGCCTGCTTGGTGTGTATCTCAACAATGGAACAGACGAAGAGGCTCACATCAAGGACAGTGTCACTGTCGTCGGACTTGCATTCTCAGAAATACTCCGCACTGGAAACATCACAGCACCACCTACTGCCTGCAAAGATATGAGGACTTGGGGCGATGGGACCACGATCATGAGGTATGTGGCAGCAGTGGTTGTGTAGGTGTTTGACTTGTTTGGGGGGTGGAGACAAATTTAGTTTAAAATTTACATTTTTGACATCTCTTAATCTACTTATCTGCGAACCTTACACTTCACATTGAAAATCGAGGTAAGTGTGCCTGAAGATAATCTCAAAGAAATATCTATATAAATTGATTTGTTGCTTTCCGGTATTTGTTTAGGAAACTACGAGAAACAAAGTTGACCCATGGTCAAACAGGCTTGGTGACCTTTGATGAGCATGGTGACAGACAGAACCCCTCGTACGAGATACGCAACATTAACCAGGATGGCAAAGCATTTGCTGTGGGACTGTATGGTGATATTAAGGTGTGCAGGCAGTGATTCCCCGGGACAAATATTACTGTTTTTCAGTTAACATGCACTTAACAAATATTGTTTGGTATGTGGGTAATGGTCTCATGTTATTTTTGTTTACATGATTTTTGGGGAGATTATTTTATCACTAGTTCCAGATTTTTATTTAAAAAATGGTCTCACATTAAATGCTTGGTTAGTCAGTGTACCTAAAACACAAGTGTTGTTTTATTGCCAGCAAATAATAAACAGCTTCCTTTGAGATGAATAACATCAATATTCACACTGATAAATTTGTTTTGTTTCCTTTAACCTGCAACTTCTAAGTCAGTAATGGTCATTATGACCAGCAGAGTGATCTGCAATGCATCTGGAGTTATCTCCCCTGTATTTTGATGCATTGATCATTTAGATCACATGATCATATTGTGTTGGAGTGATTCTTGTATTGATGGGTGGATCTAATTTCAGCCAATTGAGGAACCCCTGAGGATGATGCATGAGATCACGTGGCCAGGAGGCGTCAAGATCAGACCAAAGGGTCAGAAGATCTCCCGTAACTTGACGGTATGTAACAACATTCAGTATCGAAGTTAAATATGTTTGCAGTTTATGAAATTCTCCATCTAGGTCAGGGATCCTTTTCATAACCATAATGCTATAAATTAATGATGCAGGAAATCCCCAGCTTCATATAGACACAGTTGATTATATTTTCAGAACCCAACCTAACCAAATAACTTCAAGTATCACCCTCAATTTATGACACTATATCTAAGTAAAATAAATGATGGGCAGAAGAGTTTAGTAATTGCATGCACTCAATCAGGATGTGTATATGTGTATGTTATGTTCTGATTATGCAGCTTAGGGGTTAGGAGATTGTGCTGAGGTTCGATATTAGTGAGCACTCTAACTATTAATGTAATGAAAAAAGAAGATGATAATAATGATTTTTATTAGCCCACCTCTGTGGGCAATGTTGTTTTAAGGAGGTTTTATACTGGAATATAATAGCTAAGTTTACTAGCTAGGCAGAATGTTAACAGGTTGTTTGGAACATGGGAAATATCCTTTTTGTTTACAAGTTGTTTGGCAGATGGGAAATATCCTTTTTGATAGCAGCAGCTTTATTTGGGCATTAGCCACAGTTACACCACAAGGGTGGGTTATGTCCATTCTTTCGACAGGTCGTTTTTTACGAAATGACCCAATTCAAATTGGACAAGAGGGGAGCAAGCCTCGGTTCACGGTTTTGCATCGTCACCCAAGGCGCAGCACATTTATGGCCTATGTGGTGTAAATCAGCAGGAGCCCCTTCTCTGTGGTCGCTATGGATTTCAATGCTCTTGCTGGACGCCTCGAGGGTTGAAGTCCATCTCCCCCTTAAGGGGGACGCTAACCCATACACACATGCTCCTTGGGTTGCACCCACGTTGGCTGACTCTTGCTCTGTTGACAGATTGTGACAATCCCTGAGATGCCATTTGTGGAAGTTGAGGAACCCCTGCCTAGTGGTGTCTGTCCAACGTATGATGACAAAGAGGTCTTCCCCTGCACACAACAGAATAGCTCCACCGGTAACAATCTTTTGTCTGTGTGTTATTTGAATGTTGATATCATGATACATGTGTTTACGTATTACATATAAAGGACTGGTGTGTCTATGGTGGACCCTCATTAAAACCTCATAAAAATTTCTTTACCAAACCTTATGGTGAAGAATCTAAAACAAATGAGACTTTTTCAGTTGTTTTAATAATTTTGGCATTTTTGTGGAACCAGAGTTTATATCCCCTTCTCGTTGATGCACAAAGCACTATAAGCATAGTTACCTCTTCACCACTGTGTCTGTCTTGCAGGGGAGAATGAGCTCCAGTGCTGCACAGGCTACTGTATGGACATGCTGCAGGAGATTGCCAAGCAGGTCAACTTCACCTTCACCATACATCTCAGTCACGATGGACTCTATGGCTCATTTGAAAGGGTGAGACAGCTACTTCAGTGAGGCAATGTTGTAATATGTGTTTCCTGTGGTGTATGTGGTTCATCGTATGTCAGACAATGTTATGATCTGTGTTTCCCATGGTGTATGTGTTCATCATACATCATTCAGATGTCGTAATCTGTGTGTTTCCTGTGGTGTATGTGGTTCATCGTATGTCAGACAATGTTATGATCTGTGTTTCCCATGGTGTATGTGGTTCATCGTACATCATTCAGATGTCGTAATCTGTGTGTTTCCTGTGGTGTGTGTGGTTCATCGTATGTCAGACAATGTTATGATCTGTGTTTCCCATGGTGTATGTGTTCATCATACATCATTCAGATGTCGTAATCTGTGTGTTTCCTGTGGTGTGTGTGGTTCATCGTATGTCAGACAATGTTATGATCTGTGTTTCCCATGGTGTATGTGGTTCATCGTACATCATTCAGATGTCGTAATCTGTGTGTTTCCTGTGGTGTGTGTGGTTCATCGTATGTCAGACAATGTTATGATCTTTGTTTCCTGTGTTGTATGTGGTTCATCGTACATCATTCAGATGTGTTTCCTGTGGTGTATGTGTTCATCGTATGTCAGACAATGTTATGATCTGTGTTTCCCATGGTGTATGTGTTCATCATACATCATTCAGATGTCGTAATCTGTGTGTTTCCTGTGGTGTGTGTGGTTCATCGTATGTCAGACAATGTTATGATCTGTGTTTCCCATGGTGTATGTGGTTCATCGTACATCATTCAGATGTCGTAATCTGTGTGTTTCCTGTGGTGTGTGTGGTTCATTGTATGTCAGACAATGTTATGATCTGTGTTTCCCATGGTGTGTGTGGTTCATCGTACATCATTCAGATGTCGTAATCTGTGTGTTTCCTGTGGTGTATGTGGTTCATCGTATGTCAGACAATGTTATGATCTTTGTTTCCTGTGTTGTATGTGGTTCATCATCGTATGTCAGACAATGTTATGATCTTTGTTTCCTGTGTTGTATGTGGTTCATCATCGTATGTCAGACAATGTTATGATCTTTGTTTCCTGTGTTGTATGTGGTTCATCGTACATCATTCAGATGTCGTAATCTGTGTGTTTCCTGTGGTGTGTGTGGTTCATTGTATGTCAGACAATGTTATGATCTGTGTTTCCCATGGTGTGTGTGGTTCATCGTACATCATTCAGATGTCGTAATCTGTGTGTTTCCTGTGGTGTATGTGGTTCATCGTATGTCAGACAATGTTATGATCTTTGTTTCCTGTGTTGTATGTGGTTCATCATCGTATGTCAGACAATGTTATGATCTTTGTTTCCTGTGTTGTATGTGGTTCATCATCGTATGTCAGACAATGTTATGATCTTTGTTTCCTGTGTTGTATGTGGTTCATCATCGTATGTCAGACAATGTTATGATCTTTGTTTCCTGTGTTGTATGTGGTTCATCGTACATCATTCAGATGTCGTAATCTGTGTGTTTCCTGTGGTGTATGTGGTTTATCATACCTCAGTTATGTTATGATCACGTGTATCTTGTGTTTCAGCACAATGGCTCTAAGGTGAAGCGATGGAACGGGATGGTGGGAGAGTTGCTTGACAATGAGGCAGACATGATTGTTGCTCCACTAACCATCAACCCAGAGAGGGCCAAGTTCATAGACTTCACAAAACCATTCAAGTACCAGGGCCTAACTATACTGGTCAAAAAGGTCAGTAGTCTCAAAATCAACATTCAGGTGGTAAATCCTATGACTGAGATAATTATAACATTAAAAGTACATGTATTGTGTAATTTGGGCAAACCTTACCATTTTCTTGACAAATTGTGTATGGTCATCCACATAAAATGTACGTTCAAGGAAATCTTGACCCTCCTCAATTGAACTCATCATGTTTTCCTGTGTGACAATTCATCGGTTGTCAACAGCTCTTCTGGTCTATAGCCAATAACTGATTCTTTATATGTGACAAGCCTATGGCTTATGATTGTGTTTGATAGCCAGTAATTGGTCCTCTGTGTCTGACTGCATACCCAAAGCTGACCTCTGGCTGAGACTTTCTTGTACTGTTCCAGACCCAGAAGGACTCCAGTCTGGCCTCCTTCCTCCAGCCCTTCCAAGATACTCTGTGGATCCTGGTGGGTCTGTCGGTCCACGTGGTGGCGCTGGTGTTGTATCTGCTGGACAGGTTCAGTCCATTCGGCCGCTTCAAGTTGGCCAAGAGTGATGACACGGAGGAGGATGCCCTCAATCTGTCCAGTGCCATGTGGTTTGCCTGGGGAGTCCTGCTCAACTCTGGCATCGGGGAAGGCAAGTGGATTCAACTCAGGGATAGAATGTAGTAATAGTAGTCATTGTATTAGCGACAGATTTCTTTGCATTTGTTACAAAGAAACCTTGCTTTGAAGTGTTGGGGACCTTATAAAAACCATGTTGTCTTGTACATAGTTAGAGGTGGGTGAAATGGGGTTTAACATCCTGTTCTAGATTATTGCACTTATACAACGATATACAACGATATATTGCTTGTACTAGTCCAGACTTATGCCAGTTTTATAGTGCTATCCTGCAGACATACCACTAATAAGAAAGAAATATTTGTAAATATAATAGAAAAAGCCTTGATCTTTTCATTTGCTGGTAACCATTTCCTCCGTTACACCAGGTACTCCCCGGAGTTTCAGTGCCCGTGTGCTGGGCATGGTGTGGGCAGGTTTTGCTATGATCATTGTGGCCTCCTACACTGCCAACCTGGCTGCCTTCCTGGTGTTGGACAGACCAGAGGCCTCCATCTCCGGCATCGACGACCCCAGGGTAAATATAACAGAGGACAAAAAATAATTATTTCTTTTGTCAAGTTTGTACAAGATATTGCCTAGCTTTTCATAATGTCTAAGTTAGTATATCTGCATCCTATCTGAGAACAATGATAGGACAGAAAATTCCTGCACAACAGAAAATATATGTACAATATGGTAATATTTGTCTTTATTTCATTTTAGTTGAGAAATCCGAATGAGAATTTCCGGTATGCGACGGTGAAGGGCAGTGCTGTGGAGATGTATTTCAAGCGTCAGGTGGAGCTGTCAACGATGTACCGTACCATGGAGAACATCAACTACGCTACTGCCAAGGAGGCCATTGATGATGTCAGAAACGGGTGGGGATTGTCGCAGTAGATAGATATTCTGTCAAGATTTCATTACTTAGGTGCATGTGTCAAATGTGTGTAAGAAGTGTCATACTGACGATTGACAAATGAGTTGTTTCTATTATTATGCATTTGTTTGTTTCCTGATTGTGTGTGCCTGTGTTACCTGATTGTGTGTGCCTGTTACCTGATTGTGTGTGCCTGTGTTACCTGATTGTGTGTGCCTGTGTTTCCTGATTGTGTGTACCTGTGTTATGTGATTGTGTGTGCCTGTGTTTCCTGATTTTGTGTGCCTGTGTTACCTCATTGTGTGTGCCTGTGTTTCCTGATGGTGTGTGCCTGTGTTACCTCATTGTGTGTGCCTGTGTGACCTGATTGTGTGTGCGTGTGTTTCCTCATTGTGTGTGCCTGTGTTACCTGATTGTGTGTGCCTGTGTTTCCTGATTGTGTGTGCCTGTGTTTCCTGATTGTGTGTGCCTGTGTTACCTGATTGTGTGTGCCTGTGTTTCCTCATTGTGTGTGCCTGTGTTGCCTCATTGTGAATACGTCGAATACGGTAGTATGATTTTGCTATTATTGTTTTTCGGATTTGCAAACACGTTTATCCTTCATAGCTTCCTGATAGTGTCTGCACGTGTGTATGTGTCCTGATGGTGTGTGCCTGTGTTGACAGAGACCTCCAGGCCTTCATCTGGGACTCGCCACGCTTGGAGTACGAGGCTGCCCGGGACTGCGACCTCGTCACGGCCGGGGAACTGTTTGGACGTTCAGGTCTTGGCATCGGACTGCGGAAAAATAGTCCATGGACACATGAAGTCTCACTTGCTATTCTTACTTTGCACGAACGTAAGTAACAACTTTAAGTGGACAGCCTAGTGCCTATTACCAGTAGGACTTGTTATCCCAAGCCCAACATATTACGGGGGTGTATTAATATGGACACAGTCCGTGCGTGCAAGATTTCATTCCGAAGCAGATCTTTGAAACTGTACAATATTGCTTCACCAAACTTGGTACATAGATAGGTCTAGTGGTGAACTGGTGCCGTTTGATAGTTTAGGATTTTCTACTTGGACTGAAAACAGCAGTAGTGCTTGTTTCCTGGGCAGATGTTGAAAACTGTACAATTTTTCTTCACCAACTTGGTACATAGATAGGTCTAGTGGTGAACTGGTACCTTATAATAGATTTGTTTAAAATTTATTTTTTTTAGTTTCCATGGCAACAACATTGACTGAGACTTAAAATCATGGTAGTCCTTGTATCTGGAGCTTGAAAAGTTTACAATATTTCTTCACCACACTTGGCACATAGCTAGGTCTAGTGGTGAACAGGGGCCTTTTGATAGTTGAATATATTTATCCACGACAAGTATTTGCCATTGCTAGGGATATCTAGGACTTTGTCAGATTGTGTTAAAGCTAGTGATGGACAAAAAGATCTTGAAGCTATAATACGTTAAACAAAGTGTTTGGTTTAACAGTTAAATTCAAACACTTTTTGTTGAGTGGTGACTGTATAAATAGGTACATTTAGGAATACATGCTTGCCTGCATACCTCCTTAGCATTAACTAGGGTATATTGTCATCTATCATGTCAGATGCTTGTAGGCCTGTTAATTGTATTCCTATGTAGCATGTGTTTGAGAGTGGACCTGTCTGTACACAGGTGGGTTTATGGAGGAGCTGGACAACGAGTGGATCCTGGCAGAGAGTACTTCGGCCTGTCCGCAGAGAGACTCCGCCCCAGCCACACTCGGACTCACCAACATGGCCGGTAGGTGTCCTGGAGAAACATGCGGGGATAAAGACGATGGTATTGGGGCTGGTGATGAGGATATTGATGGTGGTGGTGGTGAAGATGATGAGGTGGCAGAGGTTAAGGGTCGTATGCAAGAGAGGTTTGCGCTGGTTTAACCCCCTGGATGCCACAGGGACATACCCTCACTTTGAAGTTGATTAAAACTCAAAATACATTGTGCACAGTCAAACACTTCAAAGTTTTGAATTCTGTGGGAAATTCTCTGTTCTGTTATATCATTCCCAGTCATTTTAGGCAAAGCAAGATTACTGAAAATGACATCTGAATACCAGGTTCTTGTAAATAAGGCTACTTTTGACATTCTACTAAATCACTGTTCACTGCATTATTTCATGTATGCTTTGAAATCTAAATACCGCATATTTACTCACAACCTTCTAGAATGCCAATCAAACAGGTCACAGAATTCAATTACGAAAATAGCCTTTTAGTGGTCATGGGTATCTGGGATTTATCAAATCAGAAGTCATCATCCTGAAACTTCACCAATGACCCTAGAGTCATGTAGCATGCTTTTGAAAACATGCAAACACGAAGACTCAAGTGAATTTTCCACCATATTTAAAAGTGTTTACAAAACCATGTTTTGCATATGCCAGTTATGAGACACTTATTACATCACATACGTTTCACACTTGCATATATCCTTGAAATTTAGCGTCAAATTATCTTTGTCACTAAAACAAACGGTCCAGATGATATAAGGGAAATGTATCAGGTGTGAAAAAGAATGCTGTGTACGGAAAACTATACTTGATAGAAAATGTAAACAAAGCAAAATTGGGGCTGTACACTGTGTAGCATTTTCTCCTATTTTAAGAGATCCACACATTGGCTCACATATTTGAGAATATGCATGGGAAGAGTATTGTAGGAAGAATTAAGAAATTAAAAACAGATACATAACAATGATTTGGTGAATTCAAATAACATTGGCAAAGTTTCTGTTCCGTGTGACACGATAAATGATCCAGTATCACGCACAACCATGACAGTATTTATCTGCATATCTGACTAATTCTCTTTGTCACAATGGAAAACATAAAAACAAATGGCAACACACTGATTGTCAGATTGTTTCTGATTACTTACATGACACATTTATATGTACACTATCCCTGAATCAACTGGGGGTGTGGTTGGCCCAGTCGTCACGATTCGCTGTCCAGAGTTGCGTCCCTTTGGCACGCCAGAAACCTATGATTGTGGGTTTCAAATACCGGTTAGCCCCGATTATGTTTCTTGGTTTGTCAGCACCATACCCAGGCTCGTGGGTTTTGCCGAAGTGGTAAACGTGAGACCTGCATCACTTTGGGCTTTCCTCCCACATTAAGCTGACACGCCGTGATATAACTATAATACTGTTAAAAGCGGCGTTAAGCCCAACTCACTCACACACCTGAACCAATGAAAGTCATCCTCTGAAAATCCTGCATACTGCTGTCACTGAGCATGCCATTTTGTCCCACTGAGTCTTCAAAAGTGATGTCCTACATTAACATTGTTGTACATATTTGGTATTTTCTTTAGATGAATGTCCAGTGAAAAAGTAAACATCATCGTTCTGCCCTGCTGCCTCTAGTTTCAATCATGATGGAGATTTTGTGTATCTTTTACATATTCTTTCATGTACTTATTACACTTTTTTGTTATGTTTGAGATCATATCATTCATAGATCTAAGCCACAACTTTGATAATCTTTTGTTGACATACAAAATTTGACAAATTTGGTGTTGTTTACCATATTTATTTTCCTTTAGACAAATGTTAAAAGATGAAAAGTAAATGTAACTGCAAAATGTACATTTTTCCTTTTAACCTATTATTCAATATTGTAATTTCTATAAAAACTGAATATATTAAGTTAATGAAATGGAAAATATTTTCATTAATATATGTGCATACATTTGTATGAGGAATTTAAAAAATTGTTTCTGGTCGTTTGATTGACAAAACATTGATGTCAAATGATTCGCCAGTTGAGTAAAATTTAGTCACAAACGATTTCCGAATTAGACCTCTCGTTATGGGTAATATAATCTTTTGTAATAAATATTGTAATCTCAGGATATTAAACATATTCTCTTTTTCTTTAAGAATTTCTTAAACATTAATAACAAACGCGACAGGTACCCAGTTGGTCAAACCTGAAATGATTATCCTGATAATTCCATGCAAAAAGAGCTTTTTTCGCATCTTTTGTTGTATAGTTCTGAAAAAAATAATAATAATGTCCAATAAGGTATTAAAAATATATATTTTTATAATGTTCTTTTGAGTATTTGTTTTATTGAAAATTGATGCCTAATAGGTGTTGTCTAGTACAATTAAGATACATGATCAACTATCTATTTTTGATTTATTCAAGACATTATTTCCATGGTAAAGACAGTCATTTTATGTTTTGTCTAAAAGCAACAAATTAGGATTTTCATTTTTTTATAGATTTTTCATACTATAGACAAAAATTAGGTGAGCTATATATTAATCAAAATATCAATGTCGTCTTTACCTGTCATTGACGTCAAAGACATAAAACAAGTCATGACATCGAACTAAAGTCATAGCGAAACCTTGATTTCTGTCATTTATGATTAGTTATCAAATATGTAATGTTATACATATGCCTACAAATCCATGCAATATATAATTATGTTGTTAAGATATCAGGCAGTATTTTGTTCACTTACAGTTAACATAAAGCTGTCAAATAAAAAGATCTGTGTCAGAGTACTTTCATTGGTTTATGATTAAAAGTGACAAAATGTGCTGTTTTTTGACGAAAACAAAATTTGGGATTACACTTTGCAGTGTTTGTTTTTCAAACCAATCATATTTTTGCAATTAATTTTTTAACCGCAATGCTTGCCCAACATTCACTTTTCAGAACATATGAAAGTGTGCTTCAGAAAACTAAAAACTCAGCATCCAGAGGGTTAAGCTAAGGAAAGGTATAGCCATATTCTACCATGACTGATCATTCTGATCAGAAGTTTTAAGTTCCAATACCATTTCTCTGATTAAATATGTGTTGGTAAACACAGGAAATCGAAAACAAGAAGTTCGTTCTGTGAATCACACAGGTCGTTGAAAGACTCCTATTACCATGATTACAGCTATGGTTAAATTTGTTAATCATTATGATAAACAATACTTTGTCACACGTTTAGCTATGAATATATTACTTGAATTGATGACAATTTGTTTGTGTTTTTCTCTCTGTTGTTAGTTTATGGCAAGTATACTGCAATGGGCAAGTCTACCCATTTCCAAGAAATGGTCGTGACAAGCCTGGACTCAACACAACTTGACAGCTCTGTCATCAAATAATCCCAATTTATGTTGGTCATGGTAGAATGGAGCTAAAAGTACTGTGTTTTCCATGTTGAGCTCGGTTGCCTGTTGTTTTGAAGGTTCTAAATTTAATATTTGAAGCATCCCGCCATGCGATCAGTTTCAAATTAAATTTTGCGCCATCAAGTCTCCAGGTAATCTAACCTTACCCTGAAAACACAGTAAATTTATCTCCTAAATAAAACTATGTGTTGTATGCACAACTGCAGTTTTGCACCGCCTTGTGACAGTATTACAGCAGACTAGATTGGAGGACTACTTAGTATGTTGTTCCAAAACAGCTTCCTTTATATTGAGCCAATCTGAACTTTACAGTTTATGTTGACTGTGGGTATAAAAGACTAATGTTTAATATGGTATGCATAAAAAGTAAAAATGTTTTAGTCCTGGTAGGGAGGTGGTGGTTCATGGCCAGTGTTATCCGACTGATTTAAGTTAACTGTCAAAATTGATGCCATTGCCTTTTTCTTATGAAATTATTTGGAAGGATTTTGTTGGAAAAACCACAAAATAATGTTGTTCCTATCAGATTATTATGTAATAAAACTATGAATATATTTTCATGCAATAATAGTACAATGAAAAGAATGATCCCATTGTAAGTCTATTGAACAAGATAACAAACCTTTCAAATATAACAGGGCATTCAGCATAAAGAATGGAGGTAACATGTTCCTAACAAAGTTGCCAACAGAACAAAAATAATTAAACCTACATAAAACATATCCCTATTGGGATTCCGGGTGAGAATAGGTCCCAAGCAACTGGTCGTAAGAGGCGACCAAATGGATCTGGTTATCAGGCTTGGTGACTCGGCTGATAGCATGTTGTCGTACCCAGATCACATGGATCATTGCTCACAACTTCCATCACTGGATTGTCTGGTCCATATTCGATTATTTACAGGCCGCCATCATATCTGGAATATTGCTTATGCGGCGTTAGCAACAAAGAAAGAAAGAAAACCTTAAACATGTGAATGGTACTGAGTTATGCAGACCAGGGAGGATTGGAACTTGTTATGATGATAAAGGTCAAGATGAATCCGTGTTACGTCAAGGGGGTTTGAAGGGGGCACGTGTATATATTTACATTTTCTCATTTATCAGTCTTGTTGCCTTTAGAATGTCTCCTCAAAGTCTTATTTACAGTTCTGATTATGTATCAATTACGGAAGTTTTATCAATAAGTATATATGCAGCAAGTTATCAAATCAAAGGCATTGAATCTGTAAGCTAAGGCTCACTTGCACCATTGTATTTTGTAATGTGTGTAATGTCTTCTTGATCAGACGTCACGTCATACATGACACAATTGTATGTAATTGTATGTCGTTGTTAATACATAAACAGTGTGCTAGCTGTTACTGCCTGCATACAGTCATCACCTGTCTTCAGCCCAGTGCCTGTCATGTAATTGGTTGTCATGGAAACCAAATTGTAATATTGTAATTCTGACAATTTGAATCATTGGTTGAACATTTTTCTGGAAGTAGAAACCATACATTCCACATTTCCCATGTCAAAAGATTATAAAGTCAAAGGTCAGAAGGTCCTGTCTGTTGGGTCCCCAGCAGCAAGATAGCTGAAATGCAAATTTGAATTTATTTTGCATAAATCACAGATGAATGACCAAGTATGTATTTTGCTATTATTTTCATAAGAAAGCAAATTCAATTTCAGTTAATAGCAATCTGAGGAGCATAAGATATCCCCATGGAAAAATTATTCTTCCGTTGGTTTTGGTGAAAGTATCTTCCACCAAACACTTCTACGACTTTAGCCTCTAGTCCATAGTCGGATTCTAGTACAATTCTGTTTGGTATTGTAAGCTCAGCTAATAAAAGAACATATGATAACACTAAGTTCTACTGAATTTGATGCTAGGGGCCATGTTCAGGCAAGTAGACTCAACAGTTATTGGCACAGACTGAAATGTACTTGTTTATTTTTCAAGTTTTCAAAAAAGCCATCACCAGCAAGAAGGGACTCCTACCATTAGATTGAGGCTAGTAAATCTTCATGAGGCCACACAATTTTCACAAAAGCATTCCTTGAAACATGAATAGTTTCCAAACACTTCTACCTACACTCACCCCCAGTGTCAAATCAGTGGCTTGACAATCAGAATGTTGAGTGTTTATATCCCAGGGAGGACTTGTCACTTCAGTTTTGATTAAACTCTGATATGTTAACATATGAGCATGGGAAAAGTGTAGGTGTATTATGCAATTATCAGTTTATCAGACAATGCATGTTAAGTTAATGCAAAAGAAACCATGGCAGCAATTAAAACAAAACAAATGGCAACAAGACTGGAAGTGGGATATAACTGCTTATATACCAACAGTCTGAGTAAACTGATTATTCTGCTATTGCTTTGAAACAGTGTTCCTGGTTTACAAACATGCTCTTATTATACAAATTGTTTTGTGCACAGCATAAATATTAAGTTATATATATAGTGTAGGAAGGTTTGAGAGTCCTATATTACTTAGACTAGATGTTGAGATCCTGGCTAGTTGTTCTAAGAATGCATTAGACATGGTTCGTTTTTTCGTTCCAGGTGTGTTCATGATGGTAGCTGGCGGTATCGTGGCAGGCGTTCTGCTAATATTTGTGGAGATTGCGTACAAGCGACACCGTGGCTTGAAGGACAAGGAGCTAGAGCTGGCCCGCAATGCAGCCGACAGGTGGCGTGGCAACATAGAGGTGAGTGGGACCGGGCTTTGTACTTGTGTGTCTGTGACATATTCTTGTGGTATTGTGTCATGTCAGTGTACAGTGTCTGCAAGCACCAGCAGTACACCAGTAGAGCAGTAGGTCCACTCTTGTATCGAAACTAGGAAGGTGTGTGTAGAAAGTGTTTAGGATCATTTGCGTCGTTGATGATAAATCTATGAAAGTTTGTGAAACAAGGTGTCAGTGTAGAATGTACTTGAGATTGCAATATTGGTGACATATTCACAGATTTTAGAGTTATGTAAAACACAGGCTTGTATTAGACTTGAGGTAGTCCATGTTTCCAAAATTAATTAAAAAATAATACAAAGGGTCTGATGTATATTTCTTTATCACAATTGTGTTTTCAAGTTGATTAAAAACCTTTTTTTTTAAATTAATGTAACAATTTTACAAATTCATTATATTCTTTTGTCATTTGGCTTGTTCAGTGTTTGAGGTAATGTCTGCAATTGTTTATATACCGTGTTCAACGTAATAAGCGCCCAGGGCGCTCTCAAAATTAGAAATAGGGGGCTCTTATTAGAATATTATTTTGGTGGAAAAACAGAGTTGAAAGATAAATTTCGTGGTTTATGCTGACGGCCTGACTGTTTATATACGACAGATATATTTTTCCAGAATTAAATTGCCCATAATTAAGGGTGTATATAACACACGAGTGCGTATTATACACAAATAAATAAGTCTTGTGTACATTGATCAATCGGAAGGGGTGCTAATTGGGATTGTTCACTTGCCAATATATTAGCAAATATCGCTGTGGGCGCTTATTAGAGCGGGGCACTTATTACGTCGAATACGGTAGTTGTAATAAAATGGAGACTGTTCCAGTCTAAGGCCTGTTGTGTGGTGGGCCTTCTGGATTTCCTGTTAAAGGATAGTGATTGTCACTATGCATTATATCATTACAGACAAGGGTAAATATTGAAGTAATTTTTTTGATTACATTGTTTGTATGAAAACATAAGTAAGATTACTTATCCTTTGGTTATATCACCTGTCAAGTATTTTGACTTTGGTTCCTGGGCGATGGTGCCAGTGTCTGTAAGCCTACAGTGTAGTAAATGTCGTATGTTGTTCACATGTCATTTTGTTGTGTGTCATGTCAGTGTCAAGTCTTCTACTTTAATGAACTGTTGTAAAAGTGCTCTCTGACGCTTCTTTGCTACATTGTTGAATGTCATAATGTACAACCAATTCAATGATATATACACTACATGTTCAATGTGTTGTGGGAATTTCTAAAACGGGACTATTTCTCTCATGTCATTGAGCATCATGTCTACGGATGTAACTGTGAAATACATCTAACAGTTTAAACTATGATTACTAACACACATAGCATGATCTACTTGCCTAACATGTTGCATGGGTTTTGGTGAATGTACCTTCATATGTTTGTAGATAGTAGACTAGCGTCTGTACCTGTGCATTATTTGGAGAATGAGGTTAAAACTTCATGCTGAAGATTTCAGTGGAATATTAGTCTTTTGCAGACTTGAGATCGTTTTGACAAAATGTTAGAAAACGTCATGACTGTGTTAAGAATTTGAAACATTTGCTGATTTAACAGTTAATGTTACATCTTAGTGTCTATTGACATCATTTGTGATATATGTAAACTAACGACATCCTCCATCAAGCAGGGTAAGATGTACCCTTTCACAATATTCGGACAGTTTTGCCCCAATTACCTGAGTAAACATGATTCACATATCCTAGGCCTAATAAATAAAAGAATTGGTTCTCAGGCAACTTTTGAAAATATAGAGCAGGCGGACGGTGTTTTTGTTTTTTTCTTGTTCAAACAAAGGGCCTCCCTCCATAAACAAGTATACAAACTCCTATTGCCGCCATGACCATAACACGAGATGCGCATGTAAAGGGAAGTAACTGTGTGGTATATTGGATCACATTGTGTTCAAGTATTAGGATTTAAAAATATTTTTTGGAAAATGGAAATGAAAACAAAACATGGTGCGGACTTTACGATGATGTGGATGGTGCCTGAGAACCAAGACTATTATTTTTTTAGCCTTATGTAATCAGCAGAGCAACTGTACCTTTCGTGCTGGTTTGAAGTGACATGTTCATATATTGTAAATAGTTGCATAACTACTAACAAGGAACAGCGCTGGGGAAACATGGAAGCCCTGTTCACCAACTTGGGGAATCTAAGTGAAATTTGGAAATCTTTGAATAACTGCATCTGAATGCTGTAATGTTATTGGTAAGGATGGTCTCTCTTCCCAATGCAGTCATTTGATTGGATGGTTGTCATTAGATATGAATCATGGATAGCCTGCAATTGACTATGAAACATTCCAGTTATTGACTGATCAAGAGGGAAATTATAACACTTTCAGTGATTTCATTTTGGCATATATTTGTTATGTTCTGAACATTCTGTTTCTTAATGTTTTTGAAAGAATGTAAGATGATAATAATTAAGGAATAACATTGACATAGTCTGTTATCAAATTAAATAGTTTTCTTATTTGTTCCACACATTAGTATCATTTATATACACTTCCTGCTTGTAGATATAGAATGCAATGTAAAAAAATTGCATATCAACTTGCTACTCATTAACATAGTGTTTATAGCCAAGATCAGTGATGCCAATTATGGAATCGAACAACTTCGAACCTAATCAAATTGAACCTGTTTTTCTTAATTAACACTTTTTGATTTGGTCACACATTCATAAAGACAAGTGTTTCTTGATTCGATGTTTGGAAAATTAGAATCATTATTTGAGTGAAGCGGATCCATTGATTCAGCTAAAACATATTATTTTCCGGTAATTGCTGCTACTAATACTTACCACCAGTACATTGGACAGAGCTGATCTATGGTTGAACTAAACTTATATTAGTAGTTACATGTAGAAACATTTAAGTTTGAAACAGTTAATCTTTGATCACAAGATGGATATACTGAAAAAAAAGATTTCATTTCATTTCCTTATACATTTTAATAGAACACTCCCTTTTATTTTGTTAGTGGAATTTTCTCATATTTCATATCCAAATCCACATTTTATGTCCAAAATCTGTACTTTATTTTCAAATCTTTTTTTCATATCCAAGTCCATATTTTATATCCAAATCTGCATTTTATGTCCAAAATCTGCATTTTATATTCCAATTCACATCTCATGCCCAAATCCATATTTTGCATCCATCTCCACAAGATCAGTTGTTTCATTCTTTGTCCTCTGTAGCTTCCACCTCGGACTGATGCAGTTCTAAATGATCCATTTGACAGTGCTGGTTTTCTTTAGCAGTAAATGATAGATGTGATAGACAAGTGTTTTGTTGGTACAGCATATATTATAACAGGTCTAATATCCCCCGAATCTTAAACATTTCTACCAACAGGAACCCTCAACAGCCAATGAGGAAGGCGCCTGTCCACAGGCAAACTAGACTTATCTGTAGGATGTTCTGCCAAGTTCTCGGTAGGGATTCGGCCTCCTGCATGAGTTGGCTTAATATCCTGAAAATAATAACTGCCCATGGCTAGATAAATAATCTTGTAATTCTAATCTTTCCATCCTGCAGCAGGCTCCTTCCATTCAACTCTTGCCATTGTTGGTTTGCTTTTGGGGGCTTTGACATTTTAAAGTTTGTCAAGAAACTGATCCCAGCCTTACTGCTCAGACTTAACACATGATTAGGGCTGATAATACTTGATGCAAGATTATATAAGATGATGGTTCACATATTTGCTGTACAAAGCCATCTGGATAGTCTGACACTGTGGTGTGTTAAATGTTGATATTCTATGTGTTATGATAAATGGGACCATGTGGTATTATTCATAGAGATGTAATGATAAAAACCAAGTTAAGTCTCCCCATGTATGAACATGACTTCTTGGTATCCCGTTTGGGTTGTATCCCTAGTAGTGTTGAGTGGTATATGTGCCGACTGATAGTCCCATGCTGATCCCATGGTGTCCGGTTGTAGGTTGTGTCCCTAGTAGTGTTGAGTGGTATATGTGCTGACTGATAGCTCCATGCTGCTCCCATGGTGTCCGGTTGTAGGTTGTGTCTCTAGTAGTGTTGAGTAGCATATGTTCCAACTGATAGCCCCATGCTGATCCCATGGTATCCAGTTTTGGTTGTGTCCCTAGTAGTGTTGAGTGGTATATGTGCTGACTGATAGTCCCATGCTGATCCCATGGTGTCCGGTTGTAGGTTGTGTCCCTAGTAGTGTTGAGTGGTATATGTGCTGACTGATAGCTCCTTGCTGCTCCCATGGTATCCAGTTTTGGTTGTGTCCCTAGTAGTGTTGAGTGGTATATGTGCTGACTGATAGCTCCATGCTGATCCCATGGTGTCCGGTTGTAGGTTGTGTCCCTAGTAGTGTTGAGTAGTATATGTGTCGACTGATAGCCCCATGCTGATCCCATGGTGTCCGGTTGTAGGTTGTATCCCTAGTAGTGTTGAGTAGTATATGTGCTGACTGATAGCCCCATGCTGCTCCCATGGTATCCGGTTGTAGGTTGTATCCCTAGTAGTGTTGAGTAGTATATGTGTCGACTGATAGCCCCATGCTGCTCCCATGGTATCCGGTTGTAGGTTGTGTCCCTAGTAGTGTTGAGTAGCATGTGCTGACTGATAGCCCCATGCTGATCCCATGGTGTCCGGTTGTAGGTTGTATCCCTAGTAGTGTTGAGTGGTATATGTGCTGACTGATAGCTCCATGCTGCTCCCATGGTATCCAGTTTTGGTTGTGTCCCTAGTAGTGTTGAGTAGTATATGTGCTGACTGATAGCTCCATGCTGCTCCCATGGTGTCCGGTTGTAGGTTGTGTCCCTAGTAGTGTTGAGTGGTATATGTGCTGACTGATAGCTCCATGCTGCTCCCATGGTGTCAGGTTTGGGTTGTATCCCTAGTAGTGTTGAGTAGTATATGTGCTGACTGATAGCTCCATGCTGCTCCCATGGTGTCCGGTTGTAGGTTGTGTCCCTAGTAGTGTTAAGTGGTATATGTGCTGACTGATAGCCCCATGCTGATCCCATGGTATCCGGTTGTAGGTTGTGTCCCTAGTAGTGTTGAGTAGTATATGTGCTGACTGATAGCTCCATGCTGCTCCCATGGTGTCCGGTTGTAGGTTGTGTCCCTAGTAGTGTTAAGTGGTATATGTGCTGACTGATAGCTCCATGCTGCTCCCATGGTATCCAATTGGGTTGTATCCCTAGTAGTGATTCAGAAATGTCTTTTCCTATTTATTTTCCATGTTATCAACCAGTATTGTAAACTGAGAAAAATAGAATAGAAAAAGAAAGTATGTGGAATGTTGACAAGAATGAGCAACTCTCTGGAGGCGCCCACTGGCGTGGATTCATTTGCTTCCTATAAGATGAAAGTTAAGTTTGGGTTGTATGAGAGTGCTAGGACGTTAAACATTGATCATGTTCGAAGCCCTTGAAAGCTCACCAGGAATGGCAGGCATGTATAATATTGGGAAGATGTGTGGATTTGGGAGTGGCTTATTCTAGGCTTAATCAAATCATGAGGCTTTTTAAGGCTGATTTTTGTGTGTAGCATGAACGTTTTAGGATGAATTGAACCATGATACAGTTGACGGAATATTGCCTAGAGTTGAAGCTATGCCTTTAATCAAAGCATCAGAAGAATAACGTTGGATATGTAACAATCCTTGTCTCTAATTTTGTAATCTTTGTTAAAATGATTTTTTCGAGATGTGAGAGATTTGTATGGAGAATCCTATAGTTTGAACGTGTCCCTACTTGCACTTATTGTCCAAATTTAGATAGACAGAGGTAGACACTATTGGTCATGTCTAACTAGTCCATAGGTCATTTCAGACTAGTAGCTTATGTGACATAACTAGATTTGGGTAGAAACAACTTGTCAATCTATATATTAGACTAGTGTTGTGTCTAGCCCTTCACCTTTCCTTAAAATCTTCGCTCGTCACGCCGAAGACCCAGGTTCAATTCCCCACATGGGCACAATGTGAGAAGCCATTTCTGGTGTCCCCTGCCACGATATTGCTGGAATATTGTTAAAAGTGGCACTCAGTGTAAATATAAATATTTGCTGATGATGCTCTTATAAAGATGCAGTTAACTATGGCTGTCCATAGTGCTGTAATGATTACAATATTGTATGTTACAATATTCTTTTGTCATAATAAGATGAAATACAGTAACAAGAGTACATGTATATGTTCAGAAGGACACATTTTGTACAGCTATCGTCAAAACTGTTGGTTAATGTTGCAATTTGAAGGGGTATTGTAGGAAAACACTGTCAGAAAAGATCCATTTTGAAAATGACAGTCCTCTGTTGAGATAAGTCATTTTGATTGCTGCATATCAACATAAGCAGACCTGGAAAGGTTAACATGACCTTGGTGAAGGATTCCTCTACTCTGAGACAAGTTTATTGTTTTGCCTGTGGCAGCCTGCCTTCGTGTCACTGCATACAGAATATTCACTTTCCCCACTCGTCCACTGAATAAAGATTGATAATGAGAACCAGAAAAGTCTAATTTTACATTTTGAATATTTTCGTTGAAACATTACAAATAGACTTCAAGGGTTTTTTTCATTTTTAACACAAATTTCAATTGTTGGAATGATTTATCTCAGCAAACATGTCGGTTTATTTATCCCTACTTCTGTTTCTGACAGAACTGTGAACAAACTAAATACTAACATGAACAATTAACACTGCTCGGAACACACATAGAATCTGACCTGTTCACCTGAATAGTCCTATCATGATATAGATACTACTCAAAGGAAGTTAAAGAAGTTTCCTGTTCAATAAGATTGCCATGCCAGATTAGGTAGAGTAATATGAAGAAATTGTTTGTTCTTTTAATTCTTTTGAGAAGACTACTTCACTTGCCAAAATCCAGCCAATGCTTAAATTATTCTTGTGTTCCTGATGACTACAGTACAGTCAACTTTCAATAAGTAGACCCTGTATGATAAAGAAGTTGTTATCCTAAAATTGTGTCACATTATGATGCAAAGGTAGATTTCACCCAAGTAGTATTCAAGATTAGGAAATTCTTATTAGTGTTGTTTGTACTATTTTGGTATAGGATCTGTGATAGAAATAAAAATACATTTTTAAGAATATGTTAAGATATTTGGTTTTAAGTGAATGATAAGGGTTATTTCCCTTCCTGTACCTGAATTTGTTTCATTACGGAGATAGGAGACAGACTCGACAGGAAAAGAAAATTTTGTTTTAAAAATTTATATGTTGAGAACATTTGTGAATTTTTACATAGTCGGAGCCATTAACCAAATTCTTGTAAAAACAATGCTTTGTTTTGAGCAACTAGTGCAATCTTGGATGTGTGTTGCTGTCACTGGGGTAGTGTTAAAACAGCATCCATATACTTATACTGCTCAAAAGAAGTTGAAGGACATGCAATTCCTTCATATTTTTATAGTTAATCTGTCATGGCATGACAGGGGTGGTGGCCTAGTGGTTAAAGTGTAACATCGGGTTCAATTCCACACAAGGTTACAATGTATGAAGCCCATTTGTGGTGTTCCCCCACCGTGATATGGCTGGAATATTGCTGAAAGCGGCATAAAACCATACTCACTCACTCACTCATTGCATTACAGATTAACTATAGTGATATGAAAGAATCGGGTGTCTTTTAACTTCTTTTGAGAAGTTATGTGACAGTCAGACCTATACTTGCACCTCATTAACAGCATACACAGTCAAAATCCAGGTGACAGGTCTGTAGATATGTGTTCACAACCAATAATGCTACTCTTTATTTCAGTCCTCACCCTCCTCTCCTCCTTCCTTCCTCCCTCCCTCCCTCCCTCCTCCACCTGGGCTGTGTAGAGTTGATGCTCTTGTAACACGGGCCGCGGACTGGGGCATGCTGCTTGGAGCAGGCTATCTCACTGCATGGTCACACTGGCTGGGGTTAACACTTGCACAAAGAGCACCTGCTGACTAAATTGATCAAATGGTGATCAGGAATTCACAAAAGTATATGCCTCATTCCAAATGAAGTTTTCCTATTAAAATTGAAATATAATTAGAAAGTTTCGCCTTTATATTTTTATGCATTTAATTTGAAGAGGTTTGACTGAAAAAAAGTTTTTCTTTGACCAACATTTTAAATGACATAGTCATGAAATTTCATGATGTGTTTTATGTGATAAAATAATCATGTCTTTTAATAAAAATTATTTAAATTTATTTAATTATTTTGAAAGAGGCAGTGGTAAAATATACCATTTATGACTGACATCAATTTTTTCATATGGGCTCTTTGTAAGTAGAATTAGTAGCTGTGTTGGCTTTTACACTAAATAGTTGGCAATTTTTATCCACTTGCAGAAAAAAAAGAAATTGCGGGAGACTTGGGCATATCTTCATGAGCTGACGGAGCCTGGCAAAAATGACAACGGCGTTGTTTACTTGTGATCTTCGCTGCTAGTACGGATATTGCAATATGAAACACACTTAGCGGTATTAAATGCACTTGTTTAAAGATTCAGTATTTCCATCTTAAATATGGAGGTAACTAATGTTACAAGAATTGCAGCATATTAGCAACATGTTGAATTAACAATTGATGCACTTATTTGTGTAATTTAAAAAAAACCTTGGTAATACTTGAATGTGAAATGGATAAATATTCCTTGCAACATTCTTCATTATGATGATGTATATAGGTCGTATTTCATGTCATGAAGGTTGAAATGGATACTGTTGTAATTATTTGTTCGTATTAATGGGATTTCAAGATTCATATCTTTCCTGCCTCATCAACACCTAAATTATGTTTTATTTTGCAGAAACTATCTGTATTTCTTGTGTAAGTGTTGTGATGTGAAAATTAATTTTGACTGTCTGCAACATAAACTCTTAAATGATTTTCTGATATACATTAAAACAATTACCCTGATTTATTTCTCCAGAAACGTAGAACTCTTCGTCAGACACTTCAGAAACAACGCGAAGAGCAACTGCGTGCCAACTCACTCATGAAACAGCAAACGTCTATGGATAGTAACAGTACTCCAGTCTTCCGCCGTCAGTCATTTGCCGAGGCCACTGGCAGCCGGGTGTATGCTGCAACCCCACCTCCACCTAATTACACTCCCACCCACAGCTGTTCCGGCCAAGGTCGCAGCGTCACGTGGGGGCGGCCCCCCCAGAACTCAGAGTATAACATTATATAGGTCTTGGATTTGATACTCAGTGTTCATGTTCTCTATCTTTGGAGAATATGGTATCTTTTCAATGTTTTGGAATGAGACATTTTGGCAGAGGCCATGACATCAAGTTTACATTTTTTTCTGACAGAGAATTTGCCTTTGCTAGGAATTGTTCTTGTTTTCTATTTTCATGGATGAAATTGATATAGATCTCTGAAAATGATATGCAAATTTGTACTCATGCTTTGAAGAGATCAAACAGGAGAAAATGTCATATTTTGTATCTTGGCTCATCTTGAGAGACTTCATGCCCACTTTACTGTTGCTGGTATTACACTATGCTTTCAAGGCTAGAGATGTAGATCTTGTAGAAGTTTATTCAGATTGTATCTAGTGTAAGTTGAGACAATTGTGTCATTGTTATCTTTTACAAATTTATGATTTACAAGCATTTGTTGAGTTGATTACATTGAAAGTTTGTCTTTTATGGTAGCCAGTGACTTCAAGTCCACAGCTACTGATTGTCTAAGTACTCAAGTAAGAGAAGGGCGGTTGTTGAAACATATTCTTGGTGATTCCCCTTCTGGAACTGTATTGCAAATACTCATATCACCATCGTTTGTTTGGTCTTTTCATTTATTTCATTGTTGTGAAACATTGCATAAAACATTTCATCAATATTTCCACAGGAAAGTGAGCTTCAGACTTTCAGTATCAAACTGTCACAATGACCACCAGGCAGTTACGAATTCAGTGATTGAACACAAAAACTGTAAATCACAGAAATTAATCTGGCAGTAAGTCATGAAGCTACAATTAATATGGAAACTACATGTTTACAATCTCCAACGCCTATAATTATTAACATTTGAACTTTGTTCATGGAGGTCAGGCTTAATGAAGTCTTACCTGAAATGTATTCTGCACAAGACATTGTGCTTGTTGAAGTAGTCATAATAGTCCATTTTTATCTATATTGAGTGTTGTCTTCAACTTTGGAAGTTTGGGGAGTTACTTGTATATATTGTTGAGTGTCTGAAGTGTTGTTTATGCCAATGAAGATCTGAATCTGCTTGTATAAAATAAATGTTATCAATTTGATCATGAAACAATAACATGACAAATCAGACAGGATGAACCTTCATACATGTTTTAATATGAATGGCCAGATATTAGTGTTTCGTTAGAGAATATATCCTCCTCTAGAATGACAATCATTCATTTCCATTTTTATCGTGGCATTGTGTAATCCAATAACAAGTATCAACATGATCAAGTTAATCTAGCCAAAATTAATGTAGCAATAAATCGTATTAAGTATGTAAAAAAGTATATTTTTATGATAGATTTTCTGAAGTATTGTACGGAGGTCAGAGCACCTGGAAGCAAAGTCTGTCTCACAGTCCCTGAACCATAACTGTTTTCCCTTCCACCCTGCCCTTACTTTAATTCTACATAAAAAACAAAGCAAGTCTAGTTTTTCCACAGGTTCTGAATCCCCTGGCTGTCATACTGGGATGTCTTTTCAATTAAGATGTTTCTATCGCAAAGATATATTTTCAGAAGTGTCAGTCTACTGGTAATCCATTGTTCACATATAAGGGAAGGTATTGGGAGAAATCATATGTAAAATTACCTTTGCAGATTTATTCATTTGCATAACCAGGATTTAGTTACATCCCTTCTGAAAGTCTGGTTTTTTTTAGAAGCATAGGCATAATCTGTATTCATTCAGGTGTAGATAAAATGTCAAGCATGGACACAAGCTGTTTGACACGTGTGACTACGTACTGGAAGGTTATCCATATTACTATATGTAATCCTGTAGGCTCAAGTGTGTGATACTGAAGTTTGATCAGAGAGCTGCTTGAAATTGCCAATGATTTAACTGATTATTCATGATATGGTTTACACTTTGTGACAATTTAACTGATTATTGGCTATATTGTTTATACCTTGTTAGTCTGGACGAAAATGACAGTCTAAACATTTTTTCTTTCTGTGAAGTCATGTGATACATGTTTACATATACTTGATACTTTTCTTCAGTTGATATTTTGTTGATTATCAGTCTGCTCAGAGTTTGACTCAGTATCTTGTGCAATCTGTCAGTCTTAAGTGTATTTCATTCTTTTGCAAAATTTAGTACAAAATGTTTTCACCTGAAGTTATTTCTTTATTGTGATTTTGAGATTGTGCCACTCTCTTCTTGATTTTTATTCATCTCAAGAGAGACACATACTTTGCTCATGTATATTACGAGTTTACCCCAAGCGTGCAATAACGTTCTTCCATTGTCAAGTCATTGTCCATGCAGGTATTATAACTTGTCTTCTTCAGTTCAATAAAATGACAGTCTAATGGATGTGTCTGTTCCATGTGATGTTCCGGACGTCGCATATTGTGCCAGCTGGGAGTATATCTCCTCAATACCGCTCCCATTCTCGTTGCCATTTGTTTTGTTTTAATAGCTGGTATATTATTAGTTGTTGACCAGTCTTGTGCGGTATAGGGTGAGATGTAGGGTCGGGTTCTTAGGTCAGCTGGTGAATAGACTGTGAATAAATATTCTTGAGGGTGCAAACATCCGTCCAGCCAGCATCAGGACAAGGTCCAGGAGGTTGAGACTGCATGGCATTCGGGTGTTTAGACCAGGTCGTCAAGTAGCCCTAAGATGCCAACATCAATGTCAGAGATTGAGACGGGCCCGTGCTGTACATGAGAACAGGAACTTGTAAAGACTTCACTTCAACTTCTTTGGACTGATTGGAGAATCAGAGTACCTTGATGACAAGGTGGGGGAGGGGAGGGGGACAGGATGCATGTGGTTGTGATCATGATTAGTTGTATGGTGACGGTAACGTTATCGTAAGTGGAGGAATCCCTTGTGATGTCAAAACAGATCTGGTAGTTTTTGATGCCAATCAGACTGTCCAACACTGTATAGATCAGGTACTTCGTCCAGTTTTTCTGCCTTTAGTGAAGCAAGACCCAAACTGCCTGTTTCAACAAGACAACGCAAGACCCCACACGGCAAGGATTATGACCAACCATCTGCATGCCAAACACATCAATGTCTTGCCCTGGCTGCCAAGATATCACCCGAAATCCCATAAAGAACATCTCTAGGCCTTTCTGGATCGCCGGATCAGAGAACGATTAGTTCCTCCACCTACAAAACAAGGCCTTGCTCAGGCACGGGTTGGGGAATTGCACCGGATTCGAGCAGCCTTCATTAGTTGCCTGACTGTGTCATGTTATAGCATGTTTAAGCGCCAGTGGAGGACATCTTGACTGATTTGCGCGATTTCAAGGTGACAATGTTTATTGTGTATGGGGTCACTGTCTACTTCCTCGAATATTAAACAGTTGACCACACCTTCATAACGGACGTCAATAACTGACATCATTATCTGTGACAATTATCTGTTAAAATTCTGAACATATAACAACACATGCTTGTGTGCCTTCAAAATGAAATCATTTTGTTTTTAATAGCTGTGTTTGATATAGTTTCTGTAGGCCGTCAGTTTAACATTAATAGAGAGAATGTGTCATTAGCATGATAATATCCCCAAACCAGCCCACTCGTACAGATACGTATCACAGCTGTTATTCACATTAAGGATACAACAAAAGTCAGTGTGACACGTCATCAGCAATGGATTATGTCACTATGGGTCACTTCACCATCAGAGAGAAACACTATTGTGAGAAAATCGAAAGAAAGAATTCGGAAATTGATGGGCATTGATTTGTAATTGAGATGGAAACGACTGACAGTCGAATGAACTTCATAATCATAGTATCAGAATACTGCCAGAAAGTTGCACTAAGCATTAGTATTCTCTTTACCCTCCAAATGCAATCTGTCCAGTATTTACTCAAGTTGCGGGCTGTTTTATAGGTGCTGCCGCTACTGTCACCATCAGCAACACTACCACTGAGACTCATACCTTTCCCTCAATGTTCCTCCTACTGCCCTCTCTTATTCTCATTCATCGCCGTCATAAAGCTGGAATATTGTGAGGTGTTAAACAACAAACAAACAAACACATCTTATTCTCATTCAGTCTGCCGTACTCATGACCACCACCTTTGCTTCCTCCCATACTCTTCCTCTCCTGTACTCATGACCACCACCTCTACTTCCTCCCATATTCCTCTCCCGTACTCATGACCACCACCTCTACTTCCTCCCATACTCCTCCTCTCCCGTACTCATGACCACCACCTCTACTTCCTCCCATACTCCTCTCCCGTACTCATGACCACCACCTCTACTTCCTCCCATACTCCTCTCCCGTACTCATGACCACAACCTCTACTTCCTCCCATACTCCTCCTCTCCCGTACTCATGACCACCACCTCTACTTCCTCCCATACTCCTCTCCCGTACTCATGACCACCACCTCTACTTCCTCCCATACTCTTCCTCTCCTGTACTCATGACCACCACCTCTACTTCCTCCCATACTCCTCTCCCGTACTCATGACCACCACCTCTACTTCCTCCCATACTCCTCCACTCCCGTACTCATGACCACCACCTCTACTTCCTCCCATACTCCCCTCCCGTACTCATGACCACCACCTCTACTTCCTCCCATACTCCTCTCCCGTACTCATGACCACCACCTCTACTTCCTCCCATACTCCCCTCCCGTACTCATGACCACCACCTCTACTTCCTCCCATACTCCTCTCCCGTACTCATGACCACCACCTCTACTTCCTCCCATACTCTTCCTCTCCTGTACTCATGACCACCACCTCTACTTCCTCCCATACTCCTCTCCCGTACTCATGACCACCACCTCTACTTCCTCCCATACTCCTCCTCTCCCAAACTCATGACCACCACGTCTGCTTCCTCCCATACTCTTCCTCTCCTGTACTCATGACACCACCTCTCCTTCCTCCCATACTCCTCTCCTGTACTCATGACACCACCTCTGCTTCCTCCCATACTCCTCTCCCATATTCATGACCACCACCTCTTCTTCCTCCCATACTCCTCTCCTGTACTCATGACACCACCTCTGCTTCCTCCCATACTCCTCTCCCGTACTCATGACCACAACCTCTACTTCCTCCCATACTCCTCCTCTCCCGTACTCATGACCACCACCTCTACTTCCTCCCATACTCCTCTCCCGTACTCATGACCACCACCTCTACTTCCTCCCATACTCTTCCTCTCCTGTACTCATGACCACCACCTCTACTTCCTCCCATACTCCTCTCCCGTACTCATGACCACCACCTCTACTTCCTCCCATACTCCCCTCCCGTACTCATGACCACCACCTCTACTTCCTCCCATACTCCTCTCCCGTACTCATGACCACCACCTCTACTTCCTCCCATACTCTTCCTCTCCTGTACTCATGACCACCACCTCTACTTCCTCCCATACTCCTCTCCCGTACTCATGACCACCACCTCTACTTCCTCCCATACTCCTCCTCTCCCAAACTCATGACCACCACGTCTGCTTCCTCCCATACTCTTCCTCTCCTGTACTCATGACCACCACCTCTGCTTCCTCCCATACTCCTCCTCTCCCGTACTCATGACCACCACCTCTACTTCCTCCCATACTCTTCCCCTCCTGTACTCATGACCACCACCTCTACTTCCTCCCATACTCCTCCTCTCCCGTACTCATGACCACCACCTCTACTTCCTCCCATACTCTTCCTCTCCTGTACTCATGACCACCACCTCTACTTCCTCCCATACTCCTCTCCCGTACTCATGACCACCACCTCTGCTTCCTCCCATACTCCTCTCCCGTACTCATGACCACCACCTCTGCTTCCTCCCGTTCTCCTCTCCCGTACTCATGACCACCACCTCTGCTTCCTCCCATACTCTTCCTCTCCTGTACTCATGACCACCACCTCTACTTCCTCCCATACTCCTCTCCTGTACTCATGACCACCACCTCTGCTTCCTCCCATACTCCTCTCCCGTACTCATGACCATCATCTCTGCTTCCTCCCATACTCCTCTCCCAAACTCATGACCACCACCTCTTCTTCCTCCCATACTCCTCTCCTGTACTCATGACACCACCTCTCCTTCTGTACTCATGACACCACCTCTTCTTCCTCCCATACTCCTCTCCTGTACTCATGACACCACCTCTCCTTCCTCCCATACTCCTCTCCTGTACTCATGACACCACCTCTGCTTCCTCCCATACTCCTCTCCCATATTCATGACCACCACCTCTTCTTCCTCCCATACTCCTCTCCTGTACTCATGACACCACCTCTCCTTCCTCCCATACTCCTCTCCTGTACTCATGACACCACCTCTGCTTCCTCCCATACTCCTCTCCCGTACTCATGACCACCACCTCTGCTTCCTCCCATACTCCTCTCCCGTACTCATGACCACCACCTCTGCTTCCTCCCATACTCCTCTCCTGTACTCATGACACCACCTCTGCTTCCTCCCATACTCCTCTCCTGTACTCATGACACCACCTCTGCTTCCTCCCATACTCCTCTCCTGTACTCATGACACCACCTCTGCTTCCTCCCATACTCCTCTCCTGTACTCATGACACCACCTCTGCTTCCTCCCATACTCCTCTCCCGTACTCATGACCACCACCTAATTTTCCTGTGACACATTCCTTCTCCCTTGACCATGACCACCACTTCTTTCTCCCATTGCGGCACTTCTCCATTCCCGCAACCAAGAACACCGCTTTTACTTCCCCCACACGTCTCCACTCCCGCAATCATGACCACCACTTCTACTTCCTCACACACTTCCCCAATCCCGCAACCACGACCACCACTTCCGTTTTTTCCTGCACTTCTCGCCCGAAACTAATTCCACTGATTTCTGAAAATATTGGTTCTCTCATTGACTTATTGAAGAGGAAAGAAAAAGCCCTGAAACGTCCTGTCAAACAATAAACACGTGGTTCTCTTTAAAAAAAGTTTCACTCTTCATATCCATCCAACTTATAAATACCAGTCAAAGACCTAATGTATTCACACGACATGTTTGCATGTGGTATATTGTTTATAATTGTATTCATTGAATATATTCATATATTTCAACAGGTAAGTATGGCTCAAATAAGTGACGTCCAAACTTTCTCCGGCGGCTACAAATGAGACAGACGTGATGGAAGGGGGGTAACTCTCTGCACGATCACTTTCAACTGCTACTGCTTGTAACGCTCTTCCTCCTCCATCTACAACGCAATAGGACAAATGTGCCTTCCTGTATCCCAAGTTCGCCGTTGTCCTCCTACTGCCACTGCTGCTGTTGCGGCAACGACTGCTACCAAGGCTGCTGGTGCTTCAACTGATACTTTTACAACTGCTGCTACTACTACTATTGCTGCTGCTACTACTACTACTACTGCTACTGCTACTACAACTACAGCTACTACTACTACTACTACTGCTACTGCTACTATTGCTGCTGATTCTAGAACTACAACTACGACTACAGCTACGACTACTACTACTACTGCTACTGCTACTACTACTATTGCTGCTGCTACTACTGCTACTAGAACTACAACTACGACTACAGCTACGACTACTACTACTAATGCTACAGCTACTACTACAATTGCTGCTGCTACTACTGCTACTAGAACTACAACTACTACAGCTACGACTACTACTATTACTATTGCTGCTGCTACTAGAACTACAACTACGACTACAGCTACGACTACTACTACTGCTACTACTACTATTGCTGCTGCTACTAGAACTACAACTACGACTACAGCTACGACTACTACTTCTACTGCTACTACTACAATTGCTGCTGGTACTACTGCTACTAGAACTACAACTACGACTACAGCTACGACTACTACTGCTACTACTACTACTACTACTACTACTGATGCTTTTGCTGATGTCTAGGCTGCTACACTAATAAAATTCACATGACTCACATTAATCAAGTCACGATATGGCTGAAACTACTGCCGATGTGTCTTAACATTTAGCTCACTCACTCACTCATTCGTAAAATAGATATTGTACACATTGAATAGAAAATGTATTATGCGAGTCTTTGGTGGGCACTTATCCCTATTCTCTGTGTTATGTATTAGTGTTTAGTTGTAGCAGCTGTAACCCAGCAGTGTTCACATTGTCCATACGAACGTCGACGGTAAAGACAATATATGTCATCGATGACAATTATCTTAAAGTAATCAATAGTCGCTCTATGGCTGAAATAATGCTGATGCGACGTTAAATTTCAACTCTCACACACTAAAGTAATCAATAAATAACATATCTACACAAAAGGGATATACACTAAAGTAATCAATAAATAACAGATCTACACAAAAGGGATATATGAATACATATCAGATGCACATATCATCAGATCAAGCATCAGCTGTGTCGACACTATACACTATGATTCTAATATGCATATTCCTTTCTGTAGACCAGAAACTGTATCAGGTATCAAATATATCAGATCCTTCATATCGATCCACGTGGATGAAGGTTTTCACATATTCTCCTTTGAACATTGTTTGAATTGTATTTTTCATGAAATTAGCTTGTATATTAATACTTTGCTTACTTATATTAGAAGTGTATTTAATATAAAGCCACTCCATTGAGAGGGTAGTCACAGTTACTCTCTGTCCCACGTATAGCGGCATAAAACGAGCGGTGGTGGACACTTCATTAAAACACATCCTTGACGTCATTGTATTGTTTTAAACGCTCCATTATTTTTCAGGAATGGAGAGTTGTTTGTCAAGTACACATTATCTTGAATCAACATTTCAATTAATTTCCACTTGGAATTGAGGGAACTTTTTTAAAAATATTTCGACAAGTGAATGATTTCAAATTGTGTCGGAAAACGTGTCGCCAGCGGGGTTCAAATCCGCCTCGTTTGATATGTGTACATGTGATTGTCGACCTCAGCTATGGCGAAACATGAAGGTATGGTGTACAGGAGTCAGTGAATAATGTACATCATTGAAAAGACAATGTGAAAAGCTTTCATATGATATATTACATGACCATGTTGAAGAACTATATAAGATCTTGATTTTGAAAACAGGTCAAAATTCAAGATGGCCACCATAAATGCTCACAGAAAAACTTGATACATCATTTTTCTTAATGAGTTTACTATTTTGGTGTTTTTAAGCATTGTTGCAGTTATCCCACTCATCGACTACAGCAGCAGCATCTACCACCATATCTCAATAAGCAATTTTCGTCAAAATTGGTCTTTGGGGGGTTGGGTAACATTGTATACAATATCTCAACCCCTATGTAATATATTTTCATTTTGTTTTTTGTATAGGATAGTACAATGGTTAAGGCAGATTTTAATACCCAGTTATAGTGGTTTTATTGTCACAAATCAATGGAATTAGTGTTTTACCTACTCACAAGATTTGAAAATGAAGTAAAAAAACATGATTTTTACCAATGTTTCCACTGAGATTTAGAATAACAGTTAAATGAAACAAAATGTTTGCCAAATTCAGATAACCGAACATATTACCTGTAATCAAAGACATAATTTGGATAGTTTAATGACTTAATAAAAATATTACAGCCAATTTTGTCAAATTATGCATTTTTCCTTCAATTTATGCAATTTTGACCCCCTGAAAATTCCTGCAAGCTTACTACCCAATGGGAATTGTGTACAGATACCTCCTTTATGCAATAGAAAAGGTTTAAGGTATACAGGAAAATGTGGGAACGAAAATCTAAACTAAGCCTCTTTTCCGCTGGTGGCCAACAGACTATCAACGAGTGTTGATATATTTGATATCAAAAGACATGAGGGTGAGATTTTATTTATCATCCAACATCATTCTTTTCATCACTTTTTCAGTTTGTAGACAGTAATTAGCAGTGTCTTAAATGTAAAAAATACTGCTTACAGCTTCAGTAGCAGAGCCCTTAGTGATCTCATTTGATTGTGACGTCATGGTAACCAATGACGTCACAATGGTCTGCAAAGCATTGTGATGCAAATTCATTGCAGCGATATCTACAGTGTAGATATCGCTTGATCTCACCCAAGCGATATCTCCTGTGGGAGCCAGTTTTGGACGATAATAGGTCTTTAGCAAACCATGTTTGCCGTAAAAACCAACTATGCTTGTCATAAGAGGCGACTAACGGGATCGGGTGGTCAGGCTCGCTGACTTGGTTGATGCATGTCATCGTATCCCAATTGAGTGGATCGATGCTCATCACATCAATCACTGGATTGTCTGGTCCAGACTCGATTATTTACAGACCGCCGTCATTTTGCTGGGTGCTGCGTAAAACCACAAACAAACTTATATAATTACTACAGTTAACTAATGATCACATCAACACAAAAGTTGCAATTAAGGTCACATTGATCACAAAAAGCTAATGGGGCGTTCGGGTAGCCTAGTGGTTAAAGCGTTCGCTCGTCATGCCGAAGACCCGGGTTCGATTCCCGACATGGGTACAATGTGTGAAGCACATTACTGGTGTCCCCCGCCGTGATATTGCTGGAATATTGTTAAAAGCGTCGTAAAACCATACTCACTCACTCACACTCAGTATGCTAATAAAAGAGTGGGAAATGCATTTTATGGAACAACATACTATTTTATTCATCACAAACACATGCAAAGGCAAGTTAATTGTCCACATGTCCACAGTAAAATATAATTTGAAAGCTTTACAGAGGCCTGGAATGTTGTAACCTTGATCAAACAGCTTCTGAGCAAGATTCATATGACGCTCTTTGAAATCTTGGTACAAAGAGCATGCTCGATTGTTCCTCAAAAGTTGTGAAATGAAGACACCGAGGGCTGGAGCTGCAGGAACATTGCTCAACATATAGGAAAAGTTACGCCTCCTTTAAAGAATAGTACTCTTTCAAAATATCTTTAGACTTTCAAACTTGTAAAGTATGCATAAAATATTATGGATGTTCAGATAATACCTTTCTTGCAGGAATTCCACTCAGTATGCTTCTCATTTAGGAACTATTCATCAGCAAATAAATCGTCACCTTGGACAATTTCTTGTACTTTGCTTTAGGGATGGTTGAGTGCAGGTGGATAATTACATGCCCCACGAATTTCAGTTGACATTCAAATCAGCAAGGGTGATTTTGGACTGCACTGAAATCAGGCTTCAAATTGCATGGAACTTAGTGGTAAATTCCATGTTCTAACCCCACTAAAAACGCAACTGCACTCTAAAAGGTATGACTAGTGTTACGCCATATGGTGCCGTAAGATTTGTGTCCCTTTATGTCGAACAATATTCCAGCAGCTCCAGTCTTTGGTACAATCGAGGTACAATCGAGGTACAATTGAGCAAGCTCTTTCTACGAAGACGACAACTGGCTTGCTTTTGCATGTTTCTGCCATAGGTGGGGTAGGATACGCTTACCTTCACACTAACACCTCGTATCACTAAAGCATTCCGACAATAAAATGTATCTCAAGAATATCTCGATATGGCTTCGAGTCACCTAAATATTACACTACACTACAAAGTATTATTACAGCATATCTCGTTTTATTTAAATGTATTTTTCAGGTTATGTACTCTTTCTCTTTATTACTGAGGTTATGTTTTTAACATAATTTACAAGGTCAATACATTATATCTCTTTATCAAATACTAGTATTGTGAATGTACACCTCATTGGATATCAGAGCAACATTTCATTGTAGGTGTGTGTGTGTGTTTAGGGGAGGACAGTGAATAATGGCTTGAGGTGTATGCCTATTAACATATGTTAATATGTTAATTCTGAAATGAACTCATACAATAATGTTCAGAAAAAACAATGACAGCAGCGGTCTTTGTTACATGTAGTCTATGGGAGGTGATGGTGGGCGGCTGTTGCTACGTGAGCTTGCAGAAGTTCTGAAAGACTTGGTTACAGGGCCAAGGATGGAGAGTATCACAGGGAGGAGGAACACAGCATGCAGCATGCCGAACAGGATCACTGTTAACATGATCTTGAAGAAGGAGTTGAAGATGTAGGACTTTGAAAACACAAGCACAAGAATGCCGAGAAAGGATGACATTCCACCGTTTAATATGGGACCAGCTGCATGGACAATGGCAGATTCGGTTTTCTCTCCCCTGTTTCTTCCTTCTCCAATCATATAGGCAGAGCACACGTGCACACTGAAGTCCACCGAGAAGCCGACAGACATGATGAGATGGATCATTGTCACTGAGCTGAGACTCAGTCCCCAGATATAAAGGAACCCGAATATGCCAACGAGGATAGAAACGACGTTCAGGACGACAAGGAAAACCAGAAGAGGATGAGGAAGAAAGATGCAGGTGACCACAGTCATGACGACCAGTGCCAGACCAACAGTTTGTAGTGTACTGGGTAGGATGGCAGCATACTGCTCAAAGAAGATATAGGCTGGGTGGAAGGTGTAGACAGAGAGAGGTGAGTTGTCTGCCAGAGCTCGCATTCGAACCATAACATCAGATTGAGCATTGGATTCTTTAATATTTGTTGATAAAAGATAACATCGGGAAGCTTTGATATCAGTATCAGTTGCGTCAAATACAACATCGTTATCAAATAATGTGGTTGTTGTAAAAAATGTTTTCAATCCCGATACAAAAGCTGTAGTGCTGCTGTTATCATAAGCAGTTGCTGATTTATATGAATTGAACCAGCAAATGAGCGAATTCTCATCTACTCCAGAGTCTGTATTTGCACTAGTGATCAGAGTCTTGATATTATCTACAGTATTCTTGTCTGTGTAATTTGTGGTTGGGCCAAATACAAACGGGACAGGGAAAGCACTTGAGAAGTATGCATCATATATCTCACTATAGGAATGATAGTATGAATCTGTGGAGACCAGGTTCTTCAGAATCAAACCTTGTTTGAAGTTCAATGTTCCCCATATTGACACTCCAAGGTAGGCCAAGAATAGCACAATCACAATTACCTTCCCCCACACACTCAGCAACATTCGTGGCAAGTACTTTCGTGGCAGTGTCTCAAAGAATCGTTCATCCTGACCTCTTTTTGTTGGTGGTGAACCACCACAGCATAACACTCTACAGGTGGAGGCGCCATCTTTCCTGAGTTTGGCTCCGGATTTGGTTTTGAGGCAGGTCATGCAGTGTCTGTTACTGTCAACCCGACGGCCATGGATGGCAAGGCAGGGGGAGAAGAGGAGGCACTGGTACAGGTAGCAGAAGATGACGGCCACTCCTGTGAATGAGAAAAAAAATATATATGACATGACCATCATGTTAGAGACACAAGTGGACTACATGCACTGTAGGGGAGAAGATAATCTTGGCTTTGAGTGAGACAGCTAACCTGCTATACAGTTGAACCCACTAACCTGTATAGAGACAGAAATTCCTCACACTGAGAAACACAGAAGACACGCCAGTTAAGAAGGCCAGAAGATCAGTGAGGGACGTGATGGTGATACCGATACCCGCTGAGGCAAAGGTCATTCCCATCCTACTGGCGACGGACTTGTCTCGGTGTGGGTAGGTCTCCGCCCAACTGGACATCAACAGGAACATGTCGTCCACACCGATACCTTCAACAATAAGAGGATGTGAATAATGATTTGTTTCACAGCATGGGAGATCCAAACTGCGACTATATCACTGGTGTGGCATGGATACTTAAATAAAATATATCTGACCATTAACCAATTGTCTGTATTCTATAACTCTATTATCAAACTATTTCAACGTACCTATGATCAGAAATGGTGTTACACCAACGATATTGACAAACTTGACACCACAAAGGCTAACAAGTCCAAATGAAGACAATATGCCAAATCCAGCAGCAAGAACGCCAGCCCATGATGCCCACGTCCTCGATGACACCGCATCACCTCCGGCGACGACAGTGGCATACGTGATCATCAACGTGAAGGTTATAGAGAAGAACACGATGTCTCCGTTTGTGTTTTTGTTCAACTCTGTGTCTAGTGAATGGGAGGCAGCATAGTTTATCCTTGTAGATGTTGTGTTTAAACTTGCTGCTCTCTTCAGGAACGCTTCTTCCCACGCTCTTGCTTTTGCCTTGTTAACCGTTGAGTCCATTCGTAAATTAAACGTGACACTCAGGTACTTTGCTGATACCACTGTTCCACCTGTATAATTAACCTGTCCAAGAAATGCTGATATGTCTATGTTATTCCAGTTTGGGTAGGTGATTCCACCAGACAGATAAGCATTATATACAGCATCTGTTGTGAGAAATTCTCCTGAAGCAAAACAACTCCCATTTTGTCGAGCACAGACATCATCATACTTGATCATCACTCCCTCATATGTAACACTGATATCTTTTATTGTGCTTATATGGTTCCGTATTTCTTGCATGGATGCATTGGACAGGATGTTCCCATCAGTCGTGCTGCTTATCAACAATCGGCCATACATGTCAAGAGCCGTAAGTGCATGTCCTCGGTAGTTGCTTCCCGTGGCGTCTGGGAACGTGGCCTGGTACTGAACTCTGTCTTGTGATGCTCTGCTGTTAATGGGCGTGTACAGGGTCTCTGTGTCAGTCTCGTTGGACAATGTTATCATACCGCAGCTGAGAAAAAGGGTTACTAAAATTGAGGTAACTATCAGCACAACTGGGTAGGTGCCAATGAAAACACCGATCTTTTCAAATATTCTCTGGAAGAAGGTGGACACAACCTCAAAACATCTATTGAAGGAGCACATCTTGGTAGCTGCGCATAGCTGACTTCTGGAAAATAAATGGATAATGGATAATGACTGAAACAAGCATAGAAGCATGGGGGGAAGGGGGTTGTGGGTGGGGAGTGGGGGGGTGGTGGTGCTTGTGTTAGTCCGGATTTTCCCCGTAATGCCGTGTGCCAGGCAGGTAACAACAAGGACCATGACGCTGTCGACGATAAGCCAAAACATTACCAGTCAGAGCTCCCTGCAAAATTCTGTAGTATCATCCATGTAGGGAACATGAAACATTTGACCCATTCAGCTAATTCCAAAGAGGACGGTCAGGCAGATATTGTGGGGTTAATAAATAGCCTAAAGGATGACATCACACACTGATGACATGTTGCACTTGCAACACTTATTTGGCAAGCCATATTGATACATGGCATAAACATATATAATTTCACACTACTTCATCTACAGCCACTAACAATCTGTTATCAATTCTACCAATTTAAAAAAAATAATTCTATACTGGAATAATAGCTGATGAATATCTTAAAGGTTCATTTGATATTATGTAGTCCTATTTAATCAAATACCAAACTTAGGTGTTGCATCAGACTCATGGGTCACGGGGATAAGTAGACCTATATACAAAAAAAAGGAATATTTCAAATCCAAACCCTTATAGTCGTATTACCATTCTTAGCATTTTTGGGAAGACTCTTCTCAAGTGGATTAAACTCAAGACTTACAAACTTTGGTAACAGTAACAATATAAAAATGTCGGCTCAGTCTTGCGTCCGGAAGGGTTTCTCAACTATTGAGAACATTTTTTATATGGATTTGCTCATGCAAATTATAAAAGTTGCTAAAACATGATATTTTATTCACTCATCAAAATAAAAGCCCGAGAATTCTTTCCATAATCATCAAACACAATTCTTCTGTTCCAAATAGGGTTTAGATGTAAACTTGGACAAAACAGAAAATTGTAGTATTCAGAAATGGTCGTATACTCAAAAGTAATGACAAATGGAAGTTGGGAGATATACATATAAGAACATATATATATTATAACTACCTTGGATTGCTGTTTTTAAGTTCACTTGTGTATAATGGCAATGAATCATTAGTCTCTATAAAGCAGTTGCAATGTAAATTGAAATATTTCAATATCTGAACTGTTTAAGATATTTGACACAAAAATATTCATCAGAAATAGAAGGTCACTCGAAAGCAGAATGTACAGAATGGTTTCATGTTAAATTCTGTAAATTTGTAACTTAAATTGGAACTCATGCAACTAATGTAGCAGTACTTGGTGAGTGTGGCAGATATGTTTTTTTTTGTTTAATGTTTAAGTACTGGATAAAATTGTTGATAATGTCCACAAATAGCTATCCCAAGAAATGTCTTAAATGAAATTAATCAACTCTGGATTTCGCAGGAGGTTAAGGATGAGTGAAAGGGGTCCAAATGGACTAGACCCGTGAAGATTCCGGGGTAGAATAGGTCTTCAGCAATCCATGCTTGCCGTAAAAGGTGACTATGCTTGTCGTAAAAGGCGACTAACGGGATCGGGTGGTCAGGCTCGCTGACTTGGTTGATGCATGTCATCGATCCCAATTGCGTGGATCGATGCTCATGATAACAATCACTGGATTGTCTGGTCCAGACTTGATTATTTACAGACCGCCGTCATATAGCTGGAATATTGCTGAGTGCGGCGTTAAACAACAAACCAACCAACCAACCAAATGGACTACCAAGCAGTCATCATGTTTTTGGCTTCAGAGAAAAGTACCCCCCCCCCCCCCCCCCCCCCAAAAAAAAAAAAAGTTGTTCACCTGAAACACCTTGAACTTAGTAACCTTGATCGAATAAGTTTTGAGCAAGGGCCGTGTGAAACCTTTTTAAATGTTCAAAAAAAGAGCATGCCCGATTGCACCTTAACAATTTTGTAATGTAGACATAAAAAGCCGACGCTCCTCGAATATTGCATCGAGCCGTGAAGATCCAAGGTAGAAAAGGTCTTCAGCAACCTATTCATGCCGTAAAAAGCGGCTATGCGAGATAAATATCTTATATTTTTTATCTCTTTACAGTCCTCTGTAACATTATCTTCACATACATATACATCACATATTTCATGTTTGGACTACCTCACGGCCCTTCCACATTGTATTTCGACGGCCGAGTAGGTCCCATAAAAAAAACACACACACACGCACACACGCACACACGCACACACACACGCACGTACGCACGCACGCACGCACGCACGCACGCACGCACGCACGCACGCACACACACGGACAACCGGCTTCATAATTTTACTCTCATATACATCAGTCATTTCCAGTCTACCGTCACTCAGTTAAATACATCACCTGCACACCTACACATATATAATAGATACAAAACACAAATGCCTCCATGTACGTAAACAACAATTTATACTTACATACCAATATAATAAAAAAATTGACAACAATTATATATCACATCAGCAGATCATAGAAAAACATTCTTCTCTTTTTACTGGAGAATGCTCGATTCTTCGAAGATTTCTCACGAGCGTAAACAATCCTTGTTTGAAAGTTGTTTGATTCAGTTTACAACATTCAAGGCCTCAGTGGAGCTTTCAAAAGTTTATGGAAGACATGTGAAGGACATTTCGAAATTTGACATATGTTATTTTCAGGCTGCCAGGGTGAGACTACAATGTAACTGACAGGGTAAACTTGAAATTCCCAAAAGCACTGTTATTTTTCCACTAACAAAGTTATTTTGATAACACTGGTGCAATGTACTAGGCTGCGGCAGGCAAACTCTTACCGTATTTAACCCATGCAAAATTAATTTACAAACAATTATAATGACAATGTTGAGTGTAAGTTACTAAACATCTCACTTAAAAATAGTCCATTCTAATCACTATATTTCGTAAGGTTTACTTTCATTCATTGTTGTAGCCAAATAATACAGAACTGAGTGTCCGATAAAGCGAAATGTGCGTTTTAAGTTTATTTTATTTAAACTTTATGTTATACTATAAAAGCAGAAATGGATTCAACATTGTTTATTAACTGCAGTGAAAACTGTAGGGAGAATTGACGTTTCAAGTTTTACATTTGTTATGAAATAATTTAATTTTCCGGTAGACACCTGCACAAAAAGTATATAATAAATAGGATATTTCAAATGTCTCGTGGAATATCATGTTTCTCTTATCCCGTGACACGGGAACAGGAGATATTTTTTATATTTATTACAAGCGTCATCCCTCATTTGTTCCATCCCGAAAGTCAACCATTCGCGCACCGTCACTCTTCAAGTACACACGGGTTTTGCTGTATCTGATCGCTTCACCCTTCAACAATGTCGAGGTGTGCGGGGTTCTTGTGGGCTACCCTGCTAGTAACAAATTAACTTGCTTCCAAATTGATACTAGCACTTAAGACTACCTGCTTTTCAGCGGGAACCTTTGCTGGGTTACCTGTGTCTCTCTGGGAACCTGGTCTTTCCCGACTTTTCAGCCACGGAATCGTAAAATAGCTTACGTTGGGCAACCAATTGCCACCTATTAGCCTGGCGGCGCGAGTCGTCTTGTCAGCGACAGCTGACATTTGGGCTGGCGGCGGTAGTCGTTACAATATGGTTTTACTCAGTGGACCAGGCAGTGGTAGTTGCTTTGCCCCCCTACCTGTGGCAAGGGTAGCTGACTTAGGCCAGCAGCGTGGTAGTTGCCAAGCAATTGTAGCGTTTAAATATGCTACTGCAGGGGCCGGGCAGCAGAAGCTGCTAATCACCGTTGGCCACGCTAGTTGCCATGGCAACGGCAGATTTTCCCTATACCTAACCAGCAGCTTTGTAGCCCACGAGTACCTGCACACCTTCGTGAAAATATCTCCTAATCGCCGTTGGTCACGCTGGTTGCCATAGCAATGGTAGCTTATTCGTATACCCAACTAGCAGCTTAGTTGCTCCCTAGTACCTGCACACCCTCGGCCGTTAAATCCCATCTCATCTTGTGTTTTTAATACAGGCATGGGCATCCACAGTTTGGTGGCCCTTGCCTCTCCTTTGGTATATCATGCGATAAACAAAATCAGTCGATTCGTTAAGAAAGAAGAACATATCTTATATAATCTTCAATATGGATTAGCCAGACGGTTTGCTCGTGGTTGTTTAATCCATATATCTAATGTTATTCACTTCTTAACATATTCATCTAATGTTTGAATGTCCTATGATATGTAATAACGTATCTTTATTCTGCTTGTGTTATATTTACTATTTTTCGACATATTTCTGAACTCCTTTGGCTGTTCTGATCTGGTCTTAATCCCCACCTTCGGTACATCTTCGGTCTTAATCCCCACCTTCTCAGAAGTAGGCATTCCAACAGAATAATCCTTCATCATGCGTAAAACATTCTTATTCATTCCGTAGTACAGTGAATTATCTTTGAGGTTTGGTTTGTTTGTTGTTGTTTTACGCCGCACTCAGCAATATTCCAGCTATATGACGGCGGTCTGTAAATTATCGAGTCTGGGCCAGACAATCCAGTGATTAATATCATAAGCATCGATCCACGCAATTGGGATCGATGACATGCATCAACCAAGTCAGCGAGCCTGACCACCCGATCTTGTTAGTCGCCTTTTACGACAAGCATAGTTGCCTTTTACGGCAAACATGGGTTGCTGAAGAACTATTCTACCCCGGATCTTCACGGGTCTATCTTTGAGGTAATCACTCACATCGCATACGTCTGTTTTTTCTAGGTCTTTATGGTATCATCGGTTAGAATTTCCATTAACAAAGAATCTGTCAGTACCATTTTAATAAAAGTCAGACATTAAATGGATGCTCATTCCAACTATACCGTTTTGTTAGATGATATTTTGCTCTCTCTTTTTCATACATGTATTGCTGCTAAGACGTTATCGAATATCTTACTTCTGAATAGGCTGGACTGGCCGTTAGTTTCCTTAGCTTCTCTTCATGGAGAGGTCTAACTAATTTAACATCAACACACTTTCCTGAGATTCCCAA